GGACGAAGCCGCTGGAGGACAAAGCCCTGCTGGTGTCTTATGGGATTAAGCACATGTCCGTCATCCACACACTGCTGATGCTGCCTGGTGGAGGAGATCGACCCGCATGAAGGAACACGACAGACTCTGCACTGACAAAATCATTTATTGTGAAGTCTTTATTGTGATCTCATATGCACTCACATGATCATATTATTGTTATGTACTTACTGCTGTCCCTTTTTTGGTCTTTATTTTTCATATAATAAAATACATCATGTTTGTAGCACACTGCATAATGCGTTTCATATCTTATTTTTGAGACACTTTAAGAAATCAGATGTTTAGCTGGACTTTTGCTAGAGAGATCATTTCAATAAAACTCTTCCATGTTTGTTTGTGCTATCTTGTTTCTTTAAACTCCAGATTACAACAGAGGAATCTGGATGTTACAATATTTACAGAAACAGATCGCTGCTAAAAGCAGACAGTTACTGGGTGACTTCAAAACATAAAAGGCAGAAACCAGTGCCTGATCCAAGATAAGAATGTGATCTGAAAGACAGCTCTACTGAGGCAATACTTATAATCAGTGTTGGGCAAGTTACTTTGAAAAAGTAATTAATTATAGTTACTAGTTACTTCTTCAAAAAAGTAACTGAGTTACAATATTCTAAAAGTAATTAATTACTTGAAAAGTAATGTGCATAAAATGAATTTTCATTCACATGTTTTAGGACAAATTTTTTCTTTTAAAAAGACGCACGATTTATTTATTATTGTTAAAGTTTACTGCAGTTAACAATCTTGTTTGACACGTGAGGAGAAAAGGGGATTCCTAGGGTACAAGGAAAATTTAAAAAGTGAGAAATTATCCAAAAAGTTATTTTAAAAGTCTATAAAAGTCTGGTGCACATTCTTCAGATTTCTGGTGTAGAATTTTTTTCATTAAATATTAGAAAGTGAATTCTGTATTAGAAAATGAAGAAATTCTTTCAAATAATAGAAGTAAAACACTTAATTTTAGAATGCTAATATATTAATTTGATGATTACTGGTCTTAATCTGATTTATTGCTGTATTTGAGCCACAGAAAGTCCATGCATTAGATCAGCGGTCTCCAACCTTTTTTGCGCCACGGACCGGTTTATGCCCGACAATATTTCCATGGACCAGCCTTTAAATACAACAAAATAAAACTAGTACCGGTACCGAAAAAAAGAAGATTTATTCATAACACACGTGAAAAGACCCAGGAAAACCGAGTAAACGATAAAAACAAAATAACGCTGAAAACCGATAAAAACCCTGAAAACTATACATTTCACACCTGAGCCTCAACTCTCACGGCCCGGTACCAAACGACTCACGGACCGGTACCGGTCCGAGGCCCGGGGGTTGGGGACCACTGCATTAGATTGTGGTAACTGTAGCTTAGTGGTAAATTTTAAATCAGGCTTTACCAACTTACCGAGCTGTTAGTTTTTCTATGTGAATCACACAATAACAACATTTCTGTAACAATCTAGTAATCATCCCACTGACACACTGGTATAGAAGTCTGTCTAGGTGCTACACCACTGGAACAAGGTTTGTAATATTCACTCGTCTCCAAACATTCCTCTTTCATTTTGAGGCAAACAAAGCAGAACTGCAACTTACAACGTGTACAGAAGATGTTTTTACACCCAGTTGTGTTATGTTCCACAAGGAAGCCACATGTGGGACAGGCACGGATAGAGGGACAGCCAGTGATGCCCTCCACATTCTGGAAGGTGATAGCTGGACATTTTCTCAGAGTTTCTAAGGACTTATTGTTGCAGCCATGATTTTCACATCGGTTTGAACGTGGGGACGGACCTTTCCATTCCCTCAAACACTGCCAACAGAACGTAAAGGTCCGATTTAGATCAGCTGTGCACACTGTACATTCAGTACACAGATTACTGAAGTCAGTTCTCAGCACTGAAGACTTGCAGCCAGGACACTGTTAATAAAAAACGATTATTTATTTAATGCTCAACATTTGGACAAATATGGCGCAGAAATGCAGACTATGTAAATAAACTTACTGATTTAACATCAAAAACATCCTTAGAGTTGCTGAACATTTTCTTTTCAAAGTACTCGATTTCTTCCGGGGTTAGAAGAGCCATTTTACAAACCTCCTCAAAGGACCACTCAGTATGACATTCAGTTTGGCCGCACACAAACCTGCTCTCGCCCTGAAACACAATATACAAAAATATATATCAATCAGTGAAAGCAAAACATGTGGAACAAATAGCAACTGCTCACAATAGTATATAGATCCATTAACTGAGCCACAGTCCAGTCTCATGCCTATTAGATTCCATTCCTACCATACTAATGTGAATGCTTTATTTATTTATTTTTGGATTCTGAAGTAGCAATCCAGAAAGAAAGCTTGAGAACTACCAGACTAAGAAAACCCCCATTAATTAATTCCTGCGCTGATGACCCATTACTTAAACTCCTATAAAACTTATATAGTGCGTTTCTGCTCTATCTGGTAAAACAACATACAAACGTTCTTGACATCATGAAAGTTGTCAGTTCTGCCTTATAGTCCTGTAATGTTGAATTGGTGCCTTATTTTGTGACTGCAACTCAGTAGTTATGCAACTGAGTGCATAGTAATATACACTCAGTTCAAAAATCACTGTTAATTTATTTGGGGTTTGTGATTAGATGAACGTGTAATATCCTACCTGATTCAATAAGCTAAGACACCAGTTGGTGAGAGACATGGGAGTGACAGCATGGCCGCAAGACATCAGCGCTCTCAGAGACTTGAAGTCCTCATACAAGACTATGAGTGACACATGAAAAATCGCATTACTGTTGTACACTCTACTCAACATTATCTGTAGCCCAGTAAAGGTAGAATTCATAGTCTGAAGACTTACAGTCCAACTCATCATCTCCATCCACAAATGTAAGTGTAGAGTCGGATGGGTCGTAGCACTTCTCCTCCTCATATGTCAAACTGCTTCTGGAGTCTTGAGAGGGAGTTCTGCTCCTCTGATGAGAAATCTTTTTCTTTTTAGATAGTTTTAAACCCATCCTGACTCAGCGCCGCCTTCAGATCATCTACAACAAAACAAACAGAGATCTCGCTAAAAAGTTTTTTCTCTCTTATTTCATCCACTTTGGACTTCACTCCATCAGGGACTGTCACTATACCAGATATTCTACATGCATTCACATATGATTAACATGTATTTATTCCATGTTTTATTCTCTCACTACACTTTTCCTTTATGCTGGGTGCTTTGTCTAACACTACGTGTACAAGTAGACACAGGAAAGACAAAAGGAGCTCATGCACAACTATGTGTGTCTTGGTGCGCACGCATTACAGTCTATAGCATTAGAGTTTATTGATAATACTGCCATAAGAGAGCGTGGAAAAAGTCAAGCCTGACGCGTGGATTTCAAGAGTTTCGACAATATATCGCTGCTCAAATTCCGATTAGATCAAAGTAATCTATGTTACTCACTTTGACGCGGAATAATCTTCGTCATCTTTCGACGTCTTGACTTGCTTTGGAAATAGCTCCCAAATGAAAGTTATCCCGATGCGCAGACGGATCTTAAAAGCGAAAACCCTGAACTTTGTTTCAGACGAAACAACCAAATGGCCAATAGTACCCAACACTCCCATTATTTAATGCAAAACATGAAAACGGAGGTAATTACCAGTAAGAGAGGAACTGCCAAAATCCAACGATGTCAGGATTCCCAAAATTGTCAAATATACTCGCAAGGAAATTCTTGTCCCACAAGACACAACCGCAATAGTCGTCTTTCCATCATCTGTTAGAACAAAGCACATCAAACAAAAACAGTGTACCTGATGACTAAAGTTTTAACATGAAGACTTGCCAAACAGAGATCCGGACGGTGACCTTTTCTTATTTTTCAAAGAAGAACAGAAGCCGCAGCTGCCCGCAGGTCGAACCCGCGACGTTGTTTTCTTGGTCATGTGGTCGCGGTATGACGCGTAGTGATCCAGTCAGAGTCTCTCGCTACAACACAACAGATAGGGATCATTTTAATTTAACAGAGAAAACAAATCCATGGGTGTTTGTTGTTTGACGTTACATTTTATCACCAAATTTTCGTGAACAGTCAAAGAGGCTCCACTCCAATCACATAGATTTACCTCAGCCTGTTTTTTTTCTCTTTTCTTTTTCTCTTTTTTTAAATAACACACTAAATAACACTAATCCATTCGCGTCTGCCTATATGCAAAGGATGTCTTCTTTCACTTGCGTGTGTGGACACACGAAGGTCACCACTCTGCCCTCCTCCCCATGTCGGAAAAAACAACCTTTCATGGGTGTCAGATCGGGTCCAAGTGAATTAAATTTCCTCATGAGACCGCGAGAACGAGGCTCGTAAAGAGCTCCGCATGTTGTTGTTATGATGTAAATACAAAAATGGGATACACAATCTATACTCATTCTGTAATAATAATAATAATAATAATAGTTGTAAACTCGAAAAATTTCGTCTCATCTAAACATAAAAAGGAAGAGGAACTCAGTCCATTTGATGGAAATGTAAACACTGACGAGCTGCATTCAAAATCACAATGTTTTAAAAATTACGCTAAGGTGTATCAAACAGTGTCTGCCAATATTTTATGACCACTTGGACTTTTGCATGGAGACTCTCCAGTGCATCATGTGCCCTCTGGGCGGATTTCAAGCTGCCACGAATGAGTAGGCTGCTCCCCTGTGCCTGCGTGCGCAACAATCCCATGGCGCGCGCAGTAAAAAATCTCGACTTTCTTCTCTTTAAAATATAAAATAATCATTGTATGGAGCCTGTTCTTAAATAGAAAGTTCAATCTGAACTTGCAGCAAACAGCGACATCGGCGGATCTATTTTTAAACCAAGACAACAAGAAAAGAAGGTGAGCCGATAGTTCAAAGTCGAAACTATTCCTGGGTGAAAATATGGAATATGAGATGGTGCAACAAAGAGCTGGATATTTTTAACAAATAAACTCAGATTTTAAAAAAAGCAAAACAATTGATCCTCAAGGAGAAATTCAAGATGATCAGCTCCAGGAAACGGAACCTGGAAGAAGTGAACACAGAAGAGACGAAAAAACTAAGAGAGGATGCAGGTGAGTTAAAGTCTTTTATACTGAACACTTGCTGGACAAAAATTAAAGAAATAAAACTAAAGCACCGCATACACAGGATTTATAAAGCCGATTTATAAAGCTGTAACTGTCACAGAAAAGAAACATCTTTAAACCATGTCCCCATAAGGCCCAGGCTACATTATACATTCAGAGACCACTTTATTAGGCACACCTGTTCAACTATTCTATAAGGCATCTAATAGCCAGTCACATGGCACCAACCCACTGCATGTAGACATGGTCAAGATGACCTGCTGACGTCCAGATGAACATCAAAACCAGGAAGAAAAATAGTTTAAGTGACTTTGAATCGTTGATGCTTTGAAATATTTCAGAAACTGCTGATCTACTGGAATTTGCCCACACAATCTCACGTCACATGAGTTTTCATAAATAGATACAACAAACCTATTGGTCTGTCAAAAACTGTCAAATTAATTCCTTATATATGCTTTAAATATGCATCATTTTTGTGGCTGAGGTCTTTAAATTTTTTGTAATCTTTTCTACAGTCATTTATAAAAAAAATGCTATTTTTTCTTTCTTTTACCCCCAAAGTAATCCAGCAGAAGAAATTTCATGGCCTGAAAAATCAAGGAGCCACATGTTATCTCAACAGCATAATGCAAGTTTTCTTCATGACACCTGAGATTCATGACAGGTGGGAGATTTTAGATTGCTTATATTTCACATCTGATGCTAATTAGAAACAAATAAACAAACAAATATACCCCTCTTCTGTGGAACCAGCTTCCAGTTTGGATTCAGGGGACAGACACAATCTCTTCTTTTAAGATTAGGCTTAAAACTTTCTTTTATGTCATAGCTTGTAGTTAGGACTGGATCAGGTGATCCTCAATCCTCCTTTATTTATTATTTTATTTCCCACTGTCGCCAAGTGCTTGCTCACATAGCAACAATCGAATTGAACTGAAAGTGAACAAAATTGAAGCGTTTATGCCACTGAGAATTATTTTGATTCATCAGGCCCTGAGTTTTATAAGCTCAGATATGTTATTACAAGATTTCTGGTCATGTTAAACTTTCTTCATATTTAGAAAATGTCACACAGAATAAATATTCTTTGGTTTGAGAATTATTTTTAGGAATCATATTACTCTCAACCAGCTGCTATACTGAAAGAAAACAAGAGACGTGAAAAAAAAGTTTCATCTAGTGGTGAATCGGTTCTTCTATCTTTCCCCACCTGCACTCCACCTCGTTTTATTTGAAGTGAGGTGGAGTGCAAACTATGGTCCTCCTCCATTCTTAGAGAAAAGTAAGCAGTTATTATCTGCCATGTGATTGAAGTGGAGCTTGTGCAAAACCATTGGTTCATCAGGTTATTGTAGTCACAATGTGATTATGATGGGGGCAAATGCATGGTTAATCAAATGTATGATCAGTCCCCTGCTGTGGGTTGTTGACTGTTCATTCATCACATAACTGGTATGAAAGCTTCATTTTCATCTACATTATTTTACGAATAGTTCGCAAAGCAGCAAACTTTCTGAACCCAAAACAGTGACTCCCAGTCATTACTTGGTTTTCTTTCATAAAAAGGAGTAAAAAAATAACTTTATGTAAAAAAAACAAACAAAAAACATCCAAAAAGCTTTTGTTTACTTCGCTTATCAACTTTTGAGCCTAGAGTGCAACTTTTGTTCTGATAGTTCTTTATGACAGTCTGGTGTGTTGTGCTGCTATCAGCAAATGTAAACCTGATCTTCTGACCCCAGTCACAAATAAGGAGTTGACTCTAGAGGTCTTACAGAGTTAGATTTTGTTTGTTTTCAACTTCAGTCCCCATGAATGCAACTCTTGGTTTAATAGAAGCAGGTTTTTTTTTCTTTTTTTAGGATATGCATTTTACCCCCTAATATCTTTAAAGAAAAATGTAAATTTAGGAAGCCCCTTGAGTTATTAATTGGGTGTCAAATCAGTCAAAGTGTTTCATTTCGAATTTTTTTGTCAGAAATGAAAGAAATCAAATGACTGAATAACATTGTTCTTGGTCACAAGCCTGTATTTGAAATTAGATAAAATATTAACAACATGGTGAATGGACCATAAAAAGTCAATAATATCTGTTTTCCTGAAGGTTGGATCCAGAATCACAGAAAATAGACCAAGAGCTGAGAAACATCTTTGAACGTCTGAAGAAAGGAACATGTGGAACAGAAAAGATAACAAAAACTTTGGAGATCCATAATGGTGAGATGACCAGTTGGTAAAACATAAACATCAAAGGTAAACTCAAAGAAAAGGTCACATAGTGGCTGTGCTGAGTAACATTTACATGTAATTTTCAGTTTCTCAGCAGCGTGATGCTGCTGACTGCCTGGATCTGATTTTATGTAAGGTCAGCCCCCGTGTCTCTGAGGTGAGAATCTTACCATCCAAATAACATTGAGAAACCAGAATGTTTTCTAACTGATATTTCTGTGTTAAAGCTTTTTGAGGGTCAGCTGACGTACACAACAAAATGCTCCAAAGGCCACGTCATCAATGAAGAGACAAATCCTTTCTGGACTCTTCCACTGTCACTCAGAGACAACCCTGATGAAATATACAGCATGGTAAGCAGCAGCCAGGGCTCAGACTGCACCCCTGGTCATGCTGGTTTTGAGTTAATAAAGAGATAATTCTGTCATTGGTACAGAAAAGATGTTTATTCTAACATACACTGTGGTGTAATCTGGATACATCATCAGTGATGTTCCCGGGCTCATCAGGTGCTTCAGGTCTCTTTTCTTTTTTTCTTTTTTTTTTGCCTGTCCCGTTTGGCTCTTTTGCCATCAGAATTATTGTCTAAAGGCGAAGAAAGATCCATCCATCCATCCATTCGCTTCCGCTTATCCTTTTCAGGGTCGCGGGGGGTGCTGGAGCCTATCCCAGCTGTCATAGGGCGAGAGGCAGGGTACACCCTGGACAGGTCGCCAGTCTGTCGCAGGGCCAACACACAAGGACAGACAACCATTCACACTCACATTCATTCACACACTCACACCTAGTGGCAATTTGGATTATCCAATTAACCTATCCCCACAAGCTGCATGTCTTTGGACGGTGGGAGGAAGCCGGAGTACCCGGAGAGAACCCACGCAAACACGGGGAGAACATGCAAACTACTTTACCAAATTGACCATCCCAGCCTTGCCGTAATGGTCTATTTGATTCATCTTTTATTGTTTATTTTATTTATTTTTTATTTTCACTTGTTAGATACGGGACAGACTTGAATGAGGAAAAGAAAAGGGAGAAAGGAAAAGGGGAAAAAAAACAGTGGAGAAGAGGGGCGGGGATAAAGGGCAAAAAAACCAAAAACCAACTAAATAAGCAGACAAAAAAAAAATACATATATCAATCACCTGGATCACCTGTTGAGAAAGAAAAAAGAAAACAAGCAGAAGAAAAGGAGAGCAATACAATAAACAACATCATGATGATCTATGGGAATATAACAGTAAATACTAAATGTTAAACATTATTGTGCAGCACATAAGATCAACAGAACACAGTGTGCTTTGAGGTAGGAGCCAAAAAGGGTGTAGTTTGTGTGTGTGAGTCCCCATGTGTACACCTGTGAGCATGGACGCGCTTGTTTTTAAAAGGTTCCTTCATGTAATGATCTGCTAGAGGGTGTGGGGGGGGCCACAGCCCCGTCCTCCAGGGCATGAAGCAGGTATGGAGGAGATCAAGACTCCAGACATCCAGAGGCCCCCAGAACACAAGAGACCAAGGAAGACCAACAGAGGGGCAGCCGCGCCACTGTCCCAGAAAGAGCTGAGGAGAGCCCCAGATGAGGGGTCACTCAGCAGCCGCGGAGCAGAAGCCAGGGGGGGTTGCAGTGACGCGCCCGTGAGCTCCGCCGGCAGCCAGCTGTGCCAGAGTGACCGAGCTCCAGGCCGAGAGGCCGAGGGCATCCCACCCCGAACTGGCCCGAGCGAGCCCCAGGCTCCAGGCCCCGATAAGCGGCCACCAAGGAGTGAGCCGGTGTGTACCTGGGCGCCCATCCTCGGACACAAAGAACCACCAACGCACCGACGTCTGAGGGAGTCCGCCACTGGCAGGGGAAGTGGTGGTGGGAGATAGGCCTCCAAACCTTGGAGGGCCTGAGATGTCTCCAGAGAGGTGGCGTCTGATACCCAACCTAACATATAGACACAGACATACAGGCACACACAGATACAAACATCCATTACCACCCTCATGCTCTCATATGGTGTTTCAGGTCTTAATATCAGACACCTTCTCCTCGGTGACCCAGCCATGGGGATCAGGCCCTGACTTGCGTCCAGGTAGCAGGCTCTACTGCATAACACCTTTCTTCAACCAGAGCTATTGGGAATCATTCACTTGACAGCTTTCCTCCTTCACAGTCTACAGATCCCCAAGAGCACTAGGACTACTCAGTGTATACACTGACTTGCAAAGCCCCCAACACGCCACCTCCATGGGGTCAGTGGGTGCTTTCAACCCTTGCCTCCAAAAATTGGCTACAAAGTATTTTGTCCGCTTTCTTTCCTGGGCTTCCTCCACTCAGTCCTCCTGTGGGACCATCAACTCCAGCAGCGTGACTTGCTTAGACTCCTCAGACTCCCAGGACCATGTCAGGCCTGAGTATGGGGGTTACAATGAGCACGCTTAGTGTGCATGAAAGCTTTTCAGTTGTGTATGTAAAAGTGTTTTACTAGTTGGTTTCTGTAACCAACTCTTTCTTTAAGAGCTTGATTTCTGCCCCCCCCCTTCTTCTTCTTTTTTTTTTAAAATTGCAACATGTGTGTTTGTGCAGGAAGGAGGATTTGAAAAGATTTTCCAAACCAAGTCATACAGTGGAGACAACATGGTGTACTGTGGAGAATGTGAGAAAAAAACAGAAGCAACGAGTGTGAGTTTCTTAGTTTTTTTTATTTTAAAGCAGCGTTTGTTAGTCAAACTCTGCTGTGTGTAATCATCTCTCTTGTGGTTTTTAGAAATGTGAGATGGTGAAGTTTCCTCACATCTTGATTCTACTCCTGAAGAGATTTGGCTTTGACTACTACACCATGTCAGATTTCAAGTCCAACTGCTGTGTCGCTGTGCCATCTGAAATGACAACAAACGTAAGGAGAAGTCACTCTGAAACCTGCTCTTATGTTTTTGTTTCTATAAACTTAGAACAAAACTAAGGAAATTTGTGATTGGTCAATTGTTTCTTTGTTGTAACTGGCAACTAATCTTATATCTGTTGGAAAGCCTGTTTATTTCTCCTTTAAATGCTCCCACATTTGTAAGGAAATGCGTTTGTAGGGTGAGCAGCAGTTACACCCATGAAAAACCTGCCAGATCTTCTCTGTCAATGTCAAACAGTTTACTCTGCTAATGACTCTTGCATGGTGTTGTTTATTAGTTTGGGTGAAGGAAGGCTGAAGAAATAAGAAAGGTCCATGCTCACAGGTGCTGAGAATCTGGTACCTGGGGTACCAAAGCTGAGATTTATTACCAAGAAGCATTGTTAGGGCAAAGAAATAATCAGTCAAACACAGATTTCCTTACTTTTTGCGGTAATTTTATATGTTCTTATGTCTGACTGCGTGCTCTGTTGTAGGGCAAAAAGTACAAAGTGTATGGGATAGTGAATCACATGGGCAGTCTGAGAGGTGGACATTACACAGCCACTGTGCTGTTCAGGGAGGACCACACCTGGTATGACTGTGATGACTGTAATGTGACAAAGGTGACTGATTAAATAGAACTGAAATATGGGTCATATTTAAAACCTACAGAAAGTGTTACAACTGCAGGGCTCATTTTAATGTTAATCTTGGTTTTGTTGATGTGTGCAGGCTGAAGAACAGCTGTTTGCAAAAACCAAGACATACAAGTAAGTTTAATTTTGTTTAACAAGTCTGACACAGCAGACAGTTTACATCTAGAGCTGTTTGTGAGCTTTATTTACTAAACCTTCACAAAATGATTTTTTTTCCCCCAGTGGTTTTGCGATCGAGTGTTTTGTGTGTTTTCGTTTTATTCTTTGATTATTGTTATTTTCTCAGGCAGTTATTTTTACCACTTGTTGGGGCACTTTAATAAGCATGTATGACTGATGGATTACTGAACATTGTTGAATTTCCTTCTTGCTCTGTGTGAACTTCAAAATGATGGTTCGACAGTTCCAGGTCTGCATATCTGGTGATGTACAGAGGTAAGATCACAAAACTACTGAACATCAAGAAATCGTTTAAGAAGTTCATTCAACACTGACAAATAATTACTGTCTTTTGTGAAGCCTCGGAGAGAGAGCCAGAGGAATTGAAAGAACAACAGAGGACCAGGAGAAGAGTGGGGGAAAAGGATGAACCAAAGAAAAGAAGAGTGCATGAATATATAAAGAAATCTGGAGAAAAGAACATCCACGACGATGCCCTGCAACCTTGCAAGAGTTCAGAGATAAAGAGGAATACTTTTTTGATCACTGGTTTTTTGGCCTTAATTGTAATACTTGCAATGATACTCACAGCTCTAAGCAGAAACTGATGGAGAGGAAGAAAGTCACCAGAGTTTATGGTTTTGAACATTTCAGCTTGTAACAGAACCAGTTTTGTCAAGGGAGCAATGAAAATGTTATAATTGCCTTTCACAGATAACTATGGTCGATGTTATGAACGCAACTTTGTAGAAGCCATTTAAATAATTGTAAAATCAGTTGTTTGAAGTGTGCAGCTCAAAGAAGTTGCTGTGGTGATGATGATGATGATGATGATGATGTGGATGAATTTTAATCACAACAGAAAAAATTCAGGCATCAAAATTGTATTTTTCACATTGTCACTGTAAATTCTGACGCACAAACACAGCCATGACATGCAATACCAAGATTTCATTAGCAATAAACGATTAAATAATAACTGTTGTAATCATAAAGTTTTCCCCAAAATTATAAAAAATGATTTTCCAAATAAATAAAGGGTCCCACTCCACAGTGAGTGATAGTGACAGAACAATATCATATATTTGTTTGACGTGCAATTTACAGTTCACCCAGAAGGAGGCAGTGATCCAATAATGTAACTAGAATGGTTATGGATATGTAATCTCTCATTATTAATATTTAGCAACTTATATATTTACTTATATATTTCTGGCTTTAATATTACATAATAGAAACTGTAAAAGTAAGTTTATTACCTACTGTTGTTACCTGAAACCACAAAGACCATCAGCTGTAAGAGCGGTATGTTGACATAGCCTATAGGCTACTTATAAACACTGACAACCTTTCAATTGATATTCTGCACATTGTCATCCAGTTTCTGAATCCTGCAGACAATATTAATTGCAGTGTCCTGCCTTAATTTTTAGAGCTCACCATCCAAGCCAAGCGTCCAACAGTCCAAAAGCAAAGTGTAGCTGAGCGTCATAGTAGAGACTGAGCTGCTGCTGTCAGATGTTCTCTCATCATCAAAATCTCTTGTGAAAGGTAGCTTGTATTTTCATCTTTAGCCACCTTCAGCCACCAGGTGGGCCTTCTTCATATTTACTTTCTAATAGTTTACTCTGTATATCAGGTGTGTAAATTAAAGCAATTAAAGGTGCTGCTAGTTAGAGACATTGTGGAATTTGTTGTGTATGTGGACTACTCAGATTTAATTTGTAAGGCACTTATACAGTTGCTGACTAATATACAAAATGTCTATGTCGTACACATTTAATGTTATTCCTTATCACTTTCTGATCAGAAACACACGACACCATGTTTTCAGCCTCACTGTGATGGACTAAGTCCTCCTGATCTACAGTCACTGCTGCATCAAGTGCTTCTTTTCAGTCCACACTAACAACATACACTAATCTACATATTCACTGTGAACATGTAGATTAGTGAATGTTGTAAAAAGAAACAAACAAAACAAAAATTTGAGTATAGCTTCCCATATAACTTTTTCATTTTCCCACCGAATAACTGAAACTATTCATGTTTTTAATACGATTTTACTCCCCCACCTTCCCTCTCCCTTTTTAAAAGCAGCTGAGATGCAACGTGATACATGATATAGGCAACAATCATTAAAATCAGAAAGCCTAAACATGCACTGTTTACCAGAAATCTCACATATGCTCTCTAACCCTGTGTTAGTTACTATATATGTCTAAAAACATATCTTTACTAATTGTAATGTTCATTTTATAATACATGGACAAAGTCCCAAAAGATTTGGATCATTTGACTAAACTGGAAAATCACATGCCTTTCTCCAGTTTAACAACGTTGGATGGAATGGTATCAAGAGAATATCATTTTGTATTTGTGGCTGTTCCTGAGTTTTTCATTGCAAACATTATCCTGCATCATACATAAATCAGCTACTCTAAAAGATTTTAAAAAAGCTGGAAAAATAAACAAATGACTTCAATACAACTTTCTTGGGAATACTTATTTACACACTAATTAATCATCATTTACAATCTTTGATACTTAGTACTGAACTCTAAATAGGTTTGATAAAAGTCTTAAAATGTAAAGGAAGACCCAAAGATGACACAGTTCAGTCTCAGCTGGCAAAGATGATGCATTTTGTCCTTTGGTGTATCATATTTCAGTCCTGCTGTGCATCGATGATGATATCTGTCAGCCACCGTGGACCTTCGCCACCATCTGCACCACAGACGAGGGTTTGATCCCATACTCCGACAGAGATGCAGAGTCATCGTCCAGCGGCTTTCCTGAGACAATCAGCCGGAATTCAGCCACAAGATATCCTACACACACAAGACAGGAGAGAGAGAACCTCACTAAATATTTAAACATGTCACAAATAATTATATCATGTCCCTGAACACCACTGAAGATTGTTATTTTTAAAAGTCACTCAGAGAGCACATGACTGTGGCCACTGCTCAACTTAAACTAAACTAAGTGTGAAGAATATTTAATTCAACTATAATAAAATAATAACTGGAAACAAAACAAAACCTGAGTGTGCTCTCACAGTTTGTGCTACTAACTGACATACAACAACAGTAAACACGTACAAATGTGTGCATGGGACTGTGCTCATCTATTAACACAACCTGAGATGTCCACTTGAATGTGTGTTTGAAGTTGTTCTGTTTTATTATTGTGCTTCTTGATTCTTGCACCACACAAATACCTCGCATGACAATAAAACAAACTGAAACTGATACTGAACATAATGTAAACAAAACTAAATCAAAAGATTTTTTAACAATAAAAATTAAGCACATTAAGGTCATTTAAAAGATGAATAAAATAAACCAGGACATTTGAATGTAGGCTTATAACAGAGTCTGCCTCATTTGCTTGTCTTACTTTTTATCAGATTTCTACATAATCACATGAGACACAGATTAAACACAGATCTGTTTTGAGTTGTTGGGCTTACCTTTCTTGGGAAACAGTTGCGCTGCTTTCATCTTCAAGTCTTTCACGGTCTTCTGCTGCTTTTTGGAGTGGTTTAATTTGATAATCCTCAGCTCACCTGCGGGTGAGCGAACAGACACGCTGTACTTGCACATTATGTTTGTCTGGATCGTGTGTGAGGCTGAGGAGCTCCTTTGGGTTCTGTTAAAGTCAGATAAGGTGAGTGTATTAGTCACTGAGATGGGCTGTCTCTAGATAGTTGTTCAGCTGACGACTGTCAGACAAACATGAAAACACACTTCAAGAATTTTAGGGAAGTTCCTGAGTTCTAATTTAGTTTCACTATCATCTCCACACAGAGATCACATGATTTATTTTAACACAACAAACTGTTTACACTGTCACACTCAGTGGATACTAACACTAGTATCCATATTTATCAATACTTAAACGGCATCAAACACTTTATCTTATGTACTTTATCAGTTTTCTATTCTGGTCAAAATGTGCTTCATTGTTTGATTGCAGTACAGCAGAGCTCCAGAGGTGAAGATAGAAGTCAGCAGCAGCCCAAGTGTCACCTGGCAGTTTATTGCTCTCTGCCAGGTGATTGGCTGAAGAGCTGTGAAAAGGTAGTGGGTGTGTGGGGTGAAGTGAGCGCTCTTCTGTGGAAAAAACCCAGAGGCAATTAATTCACTCAGGTGCGAGTGGGTATACTGTCGTGTGACCACGAATTTTAATAGAAGAATTGATCAAGCCCTAGATCGACTGCGCGCAGGGAAACTGATCAATATTCTGTGCTGTCTCTGCTGTCCTTTTTTCGTTCTTTTGATTGATTTGTGATTTTGTTTTGGTTAGTCCGTCCAGCCGTAAAGGCGATTATTGATTGAGAGTAAGTTGTGTAAGGGCGGACTAACCTCCCTTTTTGTTTTTTTGTTTAATTGTTTGTGCCACTTCCCTTTATCTCCCAGATCGCAGGCCATGCATAGCACTGATTCCCAGCTGCGCTGAGACCCGAATTGTTTGCAGTGTGTGTCGCTAAGCGGGGTGTGACGGGTTGCAGTGTTGTTATTTTCGCACAGTTTGTGTGGTAAGTCTCATGTGCAGCTGGGATATCAGCACGATGTGTTGTAAGTCCTGTCTGGAAATGACTGGGAATTTGTATGTCTAACTCATGTAATAAAGAAATGATCAATTTATTTCTTTGCCCCGTTTACTCATCCCTTGTCCTCTGTTACAAATAGAATATTTGTATAAAGTGAAGTAAATTAGAGGGGAAGAGAAGGAGAGAGAGAGCTGTATACAGACATCAAACATACCAACTAATTAGATTGCTTTTGAAGGTTTAGGTTAAACTGAGATTTGCAAAAGTGAAAAAAGATTAAATATTTTTGTAAGCATCATATTTCTTTAGTATTTAGTGCAATGCACTGTATGCATGACATACCCCCAAAGGTTTGATCCTGGAGTCGTCCCTAGAAAAAGTCTATAACTATAACTTTGCTAAACATAAACAAAAAACAAATAAAAGAAAACAACAACAAAAACAACTTTCCCCCTCTTTTAAAGAATATTATGCGTTATATGTGTTATACTTCAATCTTCAGGGACGGTTTCCTCCTTATCATTGCTCACTGATAAAGGTCAAGCTCCATGTTCACGTCACTCGGAGTCATTAGTTGTTACGCTCATAACAGCGTCAGACGTTTTTTGGTTGCATCTAGAGCGAGGATGGCGGGTCTGCTGCACAGGTAACACTCAGCGTGGTTCACTCACTGATGTGTGTGTGTGCTACATTTACTCGTCTGTTTTCACAGGTAAAGATGTGATCGGACTTTTTGTTATGTTTGGAAACTGCGCACCGGAGAGCGCGCGCTGTGCCCGATCATTCAGTGTCACAGTCTGACATCACAGTGATACTGAAACATGAAGCCGCTGATTAAAAACTTTGAATGTGAAGAAGAAACGGGAACTGTCGATCGAAGATCCCGCAACACTGCAGCGCGCACGCTGTTCTGACTCCAAGCCGGATTTTGCGCTTTTACGTGAAACCGGAAGTGTTCATTCAGATCTGTTTGTTGTTGTTTCGCAGTGTGACACTCCCAAGAGTGCCGACAAAACACGAAAAGTGTTACGACCCTCATGACCCAACAGTTAAATTTGTCGATAAGGAGGATGATTTGGACTGTAAGTATCACGTGAGCACTTTTCACGGCGATGTCAAACAGACAGAATTTAATGGAGAAACAGTAAAAAAGAAAACAATCAAATGCATAAACCAATGTAAGAACAGACATCAGCATATATTTCTGTGTAACACTGATTTTTGCTTCTGTGTGATTGTTCTCAGTTTTGTGTGAAGACTTCAAATCTCGCAGAGCTCAGATGTCCTGTGGTCACGCTGTGACCCCGACCTCTCTCACCAACTGGTGTCGCAAGTTGTTGGACCAGGTAGGCCACTAAAGGTTGTCTTTGTTAAAATAAACAGTATGTAGCAACAAAAACGAGTGATGGGGAAAAAGAGAGAAACAAACGATGATTACTAGGATGGTGGTGTGGTGATTGGGAGTGAAAAGCTTTACAATTACAAGGAAAATCCAGCAACGGAACCCAGGGAATGACAGCTATATATCTGGTTCAAACATATGGTAATTATCAAGGAGGCGCTCAGGTCTGCTATACTTTAGACAGAGACACGGCTAAGGCCATAAAATAGTTTGACAGGTATTTAAAACAAACCAATTGCACATATACCATTAATCACTTCAGGGCTGCAGCTCACCAGTGAGCAAATGGACTGCCAGAAGAAGACCAGAGAATCACCAATCCACAGGTGCATCTCACCTCTAATTAACACTTAAATTAAAGTTTAGCTCAAACCAGGGCTGTCTACACCGGCTCTTGCTTACCCTTACCCATCCCTGTTGCTTGTCTTGTTCACACCTTGTTCCAAATTATTATGCAAATGATATTTTTCTCTGTTTTTCCTAAATAGTTGATTCAAATGACAGTCGGCATATTTTTCCAAGTCATCGACCAATAGAGTATAATTCAAATGTCACTGAACAAAACTCCCAATGAAAACAGTACGTTTTTCAAAAATAAAAAACTTAAAATGCACTGTTCCAAATTATTACGCACACAGAGTTTCAAAAGATTTTATAGGTTGTAGAGAATTGAAAATGGTCATTTGTTGAATTTGCAGCATTAGTAGATCAATTTCACAGACATCAAAAGCTATTTCAATCAAAAACATCTTAACAGGTCAAGTTACATATTAACATATGAACCCTTGTGCATTTTCTGCTGGGGTGTTTTTTCTGTTCTCAAACTGTTCTCCCATTAGGAGCTCAGTCTGAGTGGAGGTTTCTTTCTCCTCCTCTCACCTCATGTAGTGTATTTTCATTGTTTTTTTTCCCCCTATCAGCCTACATCTCTGACATGTCTTCCCAATGTGATGTTTGTGTAAAGTTTGGTCAGAGGGTTCCTTTGTAAGTGCGCATGCGCCATTAGTGTGCTACCTGCTGCAACCTATAATTTCCTTTGGGATTATTAAAGTATTTCTGATTCTGATAAATAACCACGGAACATGGAAGTATATCCCACCAGCAAAGCCACCCACTGACCTCCACTTTAAGCCTTCAGCTTCTGAATAAAATAAAACAAAAAAGTTGTTTATAGATCCAAAACATGAAGACAATCAAACTCACCCTCATGGTAGTAACAAACTGGTCATCTGCAGCTATAAAAAGGTCCTTCCAGTGGTGTAAAAAACATTAGTATATTACAAACCAAAGGCTTTTCTTTTTAATCTTATTGGTGTGGCCTTTCACAACAGTCCCAGTTTCTTATGTGGCTCCTTGGGAAAATTAATTGTCCACCTCTGGGATCAGGTTTTACCGTAGCTGCTCTGGTGATTAACTGACTTTTTAAATAATGCTCTGCTAAACAACTTTATATCCACATTGTCCACGGCAAAGTTAAAGTATTTTGAGAAGTCATGTCCTTCTTTTGCACCTCAGGAGTTTTGGACTTATAAAACAGTATTTAAAGTTAGATTAGTAACCAGTGAATGTACAAGCCTGTATGGAAACACTGGGACTGTAGATTCTGGCTTACTGCTCTTACTGCCTTATTTGGCTTTTTTGAGACTCCAGTGCAGCTTTAATTACACCTGTGCTTTTATAGCTGTGACCTTTGAATGTTTTCTGTGTGAAGAGCCTTTGCACAGATGACTTTAAGACAGAATTAAGCAACAAAAATCACTACAGTGTTTCAACAAACAATGGCATATTTAGCAATGCATTTCTGACGGATGAGGAAATATTTTGATTATGATTTGTTTCATTAGGTGTTGAGCAACCTTTCTCCACAATATAGAGTTTAATATTTTAATATTTTAAGCTTAACTGGAAAAAAAGAGGAAAAAAATATTTCATCAACTTGTTTGGAACAAGTCTGATAATTCTCCCATCTCTCATTATCTCAATAAAGGGTGAAAGCAGATTTGTGTGTGGCGGGTCTGGTTGCAGTGCTGAGTGGACTTTTTCAGAGGTTTGGAAAATGGCTCTTCTGGACCCTCAAGAAACTGAGCATTTTCGAAACAAATTGGCTGTCAATGCTGCCTTGCAGACGCTTATTACCAAATCGGTAAGTATCTCATTAGAATAGTATAATGTCATGAAAATAGAAATGTATTTCTTGTAAGATTTAGTTCTTATTAAATATTGTAACTCTCTTGTCTCCATGTAGTGTCCTGTATGCAGATCCACTTTGATGAGAGAGAATGGATCAGATTTGAATGTCCTCTGTAAAGTGTGCACAGCAGTAAAAGGACGACCGTTTGAATTCTGCTGGCAGTGTTTGAGGGAGTGGAAGGGTCCACGGCCTCGGAAAGACCGCTGTGAAAACGATGGCTGCTGTAACCACTCACTAAAAACACTAAAAACCTGCCCAGATATCAGCTTTGATTCAGTTGAGGGAGTCAACGGGTGTCCCTCTGTACGTGCCTGTCCCACCTGTGGGTTACTGTTGGAGCACAACAAGAGGCGCTGTAAATCTCTTGTTTGTCCTCGATGTAAGGTGAAGTTCTGTTTTGTGTGCCTGAAGATCTTCACTAAATGTATGAAAACAAGTGGCCCTTATGCAGCATGCTCCAGTGGTGTAGCCCCCAGACAGACATCGATACCTGTATGGAAAAAGAAATAATTAAAAAGACACAAAGCTCCCAAGTTTCACTTTTAATGCCTTTTCTGTAAATAATATACCATGATGTTTTTTGTTTTTTTTTACATGACCTGTGGTTTTAGTCACTTGTTATAATTCTCTATTGTGTTGGAACAGTTATCAGATATAATCAATGTTGGCTTATATTGATGAGAAATTTGCTACCAAATGTGATCTTTACAGCTGTATTATGTCTGAATCATAACGACAATAAACCTGAAAAATGTCGTTCATTCATAAATTTGAAAACAAGTTAATCATACATTCTGTGATAAACGCATTCTTTGCCTCAATATTTAGTTATTTTACATTATCCTGTCATTGTCTGTTGCATCTTTAGCATCAGCATCTTTGGCATTAGGATCTTCTAAATTGTTCTAAATTTTATACATTTAATTACAGGTTGTAAAGCTAAAATACAGATTAGAATAAATGCATTAACAAAATAAATAGCACAATAACTGACAGATAAAAATAACTAACTTATTAGAGAAGAATATTAAAAAAAGATAAAAATGAATGTAAACGTGGTGCGCTTTGAAACACATTGAATAATTCATTGGCTACATTTTAAAATAACACTTTAAATACATTAACTATTCTAATTTTACAACAATTAAAGTTTATCTGACTCGGATCTCTGGACCCGTTCACTTTCATCCACCAGGTGGCACTTTGTTTACTCTGTACATGAGGTCTGTGAATTAGAGGGGTGTGTCCAGTTAGACACAAATGTTTTTAACCTTCCTGTTGTGTTCTGGTCAAAGACTCCCACCGGAATGTATCCACACTGCACCATGAAGGCTGCATGGTGTTTAAAAGCATTTGTGTGTAACTGGAAGCACCTCCCAGTGCTCTAATTCATGTGCAGAGTACACAAAGCTCCACTTGGTGGCTGAAGGTGAACAGGTCCAGAGATCGGAGGCAGATAAACTTCGACTATCCAAATTTTACAATACTTAATATATTCAAAGTGTTTTTTTTAATGTAGGGAATGAATTATTCAGTGTGTTTCAAAGTGCACCACGCTTTCATTCATTTTTATCTTTCTTTATATTCTTCCGTAACAAGTTATTTATTTTTATCTGTCAGTTGTCAGAGGAGGGTTTGATCCCATATTCAGGCAGAAATGCAGATTAATCGTCCAGCGGCTTCCCCACGACAATCAGCTGGACTTCAGCCAGAAGATATCTTACACACACAACACGGGAGAGAGAGAACCTCACTAAATATATAAACGTGTCACAAATAATTATATCATGTTCCCCAACCACCACTGAAGATTATGTTTAAGATGCGCATGACTTTGGCCACTGCTTAAAACTAAGTGTGAAAAACATTTATTTCATCTGCTTCATAAACCAGCAGCCCACAACAAAGGCTTAATAAGACAAACAAACCAAAACATGCTCCAGGACCGTCAGGGAAGTTCCTAATTTAATTTACTTTCACTATCACTTTCTTACAAGAAAACACTCCTCCGACCTTTGAGTTAGCAGTTGCTCAGTTCGCCACGGCGCCCAACCTCTTTAGGCTGTATCCAGAGCGTCCGGCAGAAAGATCGACGTTGGCGGCATTCACGTGTCCGGAGGTAACACAGCTTCGTTCAGTCAGTGATGTGTGTTGCACTTGGTCGGATATGCAATGGTGTGAGTTCACTGGTAACGACTCTTATGATCGCACTTTTTGTTATTGTTGGAAACACTGGAGAGTTCACTCTCTCCGTCTGACACACACACACACACACACACACACACACACACACACACACACACACACACACACACACACACACACACACACACCACTAAAGTGCACATTCTGGTTTGTTTATCATTTCGCAGACTGATGGCCTCAAATATGACAACGAAACAGGAGAAGTGTTATGATCCGAATGACCCAACACTTAAGTTTGTTGATAGAGAGGATGATTTGGATTGTAAGTAACACTTGGGCACTTTTCAAACTGGTGTCCGTGACGTTAAATTATATTTTAGAAATAATAAAATAAAATCATTTTAAGCCTTTGTATTACTATTGACATTGTGCAATGTAAAAATAAAACGGACATTAGCGTTTATTCCTGCATAACACATTTTCTTTTAAATGGTGTGTTTGCTTGTTCTCAGTCTTGTGTGAAGGCTTCAAATCTCTCAGAGCTCAGATGTCCTGTGGTCACGCTGTGACCCCGACCTCTCTCACCAACTGGTGTCGCAGGTTGTTGGAGCAGGTAGGCCACTGAAGGTTGGCTTTGTTAAAATAAATACATTTAAAAAAAAACTGCATAAATAAAAATATACCTAAATAAATAAGAAACAGAAGTAATCAGGCATCGTGGCAGTATCCTGATTTTGGGATAAATCAGATAATAAATGAATAATTTGGGCCTTAATTATAGAAGTTAATGGTTTTAATGCTACCACCCACAACTATTTTAAGCACACGTTTGTGATAAACACACATGTGAATAAATGCAGAAAACATATTAAATCACTTAAATAAAGAGATCCAAAGCGCACTTAAATAAATACCATTTTACTGGAATGATTATTGTCATATAGGTGAGAAAGAGAGCGAGAAAGACTAACTGAAGTCAACAGAGGGAGTGGTGCACTTAACTTATCTCGATAGAAACCACCTCTGCTTTCAAGGAACAAATAAAATGGGACAGAAATGTTCAGCTCTGATTTCTGTCTGCGTTGTTGTCGCTTGTAGCATTTATGTAATGTAACTCTTGCTTTAGTTAAGTGAAAGTTTCATAAATGGGAGTTTCTCAATATGTAACGCAAATGCTGCAGACGCATGACTCATCAGTGTGTACACAACATTTCAGTACATATAATCATCTGAGATGATTTAGATAAAGAAATGTTTGGTCACTGTTTGCTGAACAGCTGCTCTTCCACACTTATTGTTTTCAAAGAACAGTTTAGTAAGCAGAACAGGACTATGATCTACATCTTTTGGTCATTTCAATCCTCCACCCATTCTCCATACATTTTTAATATGTACATATACTGATTAACACTGATGTGCTGTTGAATCAGCAACTGTGATACACAGCAAAAAATTACACATCCGAGAGCCTCATGGGCACGTTCTGGGTTTGAACCTGTGCTTTGCTACACAACATTACATCCACAATTTCAACAGCAATATGAACGTTTTTTTGAGAAATCTCTTTACTCTTTTGCATGTCACAAGTTTTTGGGAAAAGCTACTTAAAACTAGACGATGAATGTCAGGTAAAAAGAAATGTCCTGGCAGTTTTCTGTTTTTATACAGACGTTCACAGACTTTCCTGTTTATATTACTATTACAACATTTGTGTTCATTAGAACAGGACGGATGGATGACCACAGCCCTCTTAGCACAGGGCTGATAGGACTTTTCTCTCATATATTAAAAAATGAAATTCACAGATTAAAACATTAAAATAAACATATATTAAAACAGAGTGTTATAACATAGGTGTTTCACAGACAGGTGGTCAAAATGCAAAAACAAGTTTCTAATATTCTAAATGAATCAAATGTTTGGTCTCAAAGAATACGTCTGTGTCTGTATTATGTCCAGTATTACAGTGCTACACCAGGCTCTGACACCAAAGAACACTTCATCTGCATTTGTGACACATCAGCGGTATCTGTCAGAACGTTATTTAAAGTGCTGGGTTGGGACAAACTTACAGATAAAACTGCATTTACTGTATTTGTTTTGCCTGCTCTTGCTTTTCAAAAACAATGAGGAGCAAAGTACAATTAGTAGTGCTTGTCTTGATGAAGATTTAATCTGTTTAAACTGTAAACAGCAGCTAATTCAATTCAATTCAATTCAATTCAATTTTATTTATATAGCGCCAAATCACAACATAAGTCGCCTCAAGGCGCTTCATAAGTGAATAAGGACCTGTATCCACAACTCCTCAACAGTAACAACACTTAAAGTGCAGTACCTGTAATACTGCAGGTATTGCAGGCATGCTCTAATAATTCCAATAGAATACTATCATCAGCAATATCGAATGCTGCACTAAGGTCTAGCAGGAAGAGAACAGAGATGAGTCCACTGTCAGAGGCCATAAGAAGATAATTTGTAACCTTCACTAAAGCTGTTTCTGTGCTGTGATGAGCTCTGAAACCTGACTGAAACTCTTCAAATAAACCATTCCTCTGCAGATGATCTGTTAGCTGTTTGACAACTACTAATATTTTTTAGCTAAGACAGCTGGGCCAAGAGATGACTTTTTAAGTAATGGTTTAACTACTGCCAGCTTTACATAGCCGATTATTAGAGACAGGTTGACCATTTTTAAGATTGAAGCATTAATGGTAGGACTTTTAGGTGTCTTGTAGGAATGGGGTCTAAAAGACACATTGATGGTTTGGAGGAAATAATTACTGAAGTTAACTCAGAAATATTAATTGGAGAAAAAGACTAAATATATATCAATTGTTACTAAAAGTAGCTGTAGATAATGTTACATCTGCAACATTATTATGAGTATTTTTTTCTCTATTTGTTCAAATCTGTGAAGAAGTTCATGAAGTCACTACTAGTTAGTGTTAAAGGGATGGTTGGCTCAACAGAGCTCTGACTTGTTTTAGCCTGGCTACAGTGCTGATGAGAAACCTAGGGTTGTTCTCAATATGAATAGTGAGATGTTCTAGCTAGCAGAGTAATTTTTTGATAAAGCAGGCATTTCTCCAGGCAAAATGGGGATCTTCTTGATTTGTGATATGCCATTTCCGCTCGATATGCTTTGAGGTGCGTGTTTTAGAGTTACCGGTATACCAGGGAATCAGGTCCTTCTGATTTGATACTCTCTTTTTCACAGGAGCTACAGTATCCAGTCATATGTAGTGAAGAGGTAAAATTATTAACAAGACAATCGACCTCTGTTGGAGTAGCATTCATGTAGCTGCACTGCTCTGAGAAGCAGAAAGATGAAAGTCTTTTTTTTGCTGTTGTTATTAACTTTTAAACTAAAAATAAAACGAATAAAGCAACAATAGAACAGCACAGAAAAGCCCTTTATTATCATTGTACATGTACAACAAAATTATAGGTGCTCCACACCAACCGTGCAGGTATAAAATATAATTAGCAAGACAACAGGAAAAAATAACAAACAGGAGAATTATATGCAAACTAGAGGAATGTATACAAAAAAGAGAACGGCACACATTGAAAAACAAAGTGTAAAGACTTGGTCTTTGTTTAACACTTTACAAAGTTTAATACTGAGCAAACTGAGGTGGAAAATGACTTGAAAACAAATTAAAATTGAATGGATTTGTATACCCTTCCATTGAAATCCAGCAAGAAATAACAGAGTATTACACAGCATTCAGTTGTAATATGAGCAGTTTATTATTAAAGTAACACACGTTCCTTGAAAAACTAAAACAAATCATAACATGAAACTCACCTCGTTTCTGTGGAGAGGTTGAACAGGGTTTTTCTTCATGTTCTCAGACCAGCTGGATCATCACCAGCTTGCATCTTCATACATCTTTCCTTCAGTGAAGTCTTTACCTTTGTTGCCATTCATCTGTGTTGGAAAACCAAAGTGTTGGTTCTAGCTTATGAGTCACTGTTGATCTCAAATAATCTCTAAGCAGCTGAATGTTAAAGAAAGACACACATATTTCTCCTTATCATAGGCTAAAAGCTTGATATAGACACAATGACTTGCATGTCAGCAGCATCCCCATAAGGCATATAAAGCCCTGCAACAAAAGTTAAAGCGAAGACATAGTTACATGGATAATGTATCTGCAAATATTAACTCAACATTTCTATGTGCTACAACATGGACATAATGGCACAATGATAAATCTGGTTTGTTTACAAAATGAGTCTAATAAATAATTTCTCGTTTACTATTTCAATAAAGGGTGAAAGCAGGTTTGTGTGTGGTGGGTCTGGTTGCAGTGCTGAGTGGACTTTTGCAGAGGTTTGTAAAATGGCTCTTCTGGACCCTCAAGAAACTAAGTATTTCCGAAGAACATTGACATTCAACGTCGCCAGGCAGACACTTGTTACCAGATTTGTAAGTATCTAATTAACATATTATATTGATTATAAAAATTTTGTTATGTATTAAATGTTGCCACTCTTTTGTCTCCATGTAGTGTCCTGTATGCAGATCCACTGTGGTGAGAGAGAATGGATCAGATTTGAATGTCCTCTGTAAAGTGTGCACAGCAGTAAAAGGACGACCGTTTGAATTCTGCTGGCAGTGTTTGAGGGAGTGGAAGGGTGCACGGCCTCGGACAGACCGCTGTGAAAACGATGGCTGCTGTAACGAATCACTAAAAACACTAAAAGAATGCCCAGATATCAGCTTTGATTCAGTTGAGGAAGTCCACGGGTGTCCCTCTGTCCGTGCCTGTCCTACCTGTGGGTTCCTGGTAGAGCACAGCAAGAGGCGCTGTAAATTTGTTGTTTGTCCTCGATGTAAGGTGAAATTCTGTTTTGTGTGCCTGAAGAGCAATACTAAATGTATTAAAACCAGTGACTACTTTGGAGCATGCTTCAGTCGTGTAGCTCTCAGACAGACATCGATACCTGTATGGCAGAAGAAATAATGAAAAAGACGCAAAGCTCAAGTGTGTGAGAGTGCCTTTCTGTAGTAATATACCATGTTGTTTCTTTTAATTATCTTTTGATAATTCTCTGTTCTGTTGGAACAGTTATCAGATATAATCAGTGTTGATTTTTCTTGATGAGAAATTTGCTACCACATGTGATCTTTACGGCTGCATTATGTCTGAATCATAACGACAATGAACCTGAAAAATGTTATTCAGTCATAAATTTGAAGTAAAGTTAATCATACATTCTGTGTGTACTCATCTTTTTCCTCAACATTTAGTTATTTTATGTTGTCTGCTGCTTCTTTAGCATTAGCTTCAGGATATTTAGCACTTATACTACTCAGGTCAGACTTTTCTTTCTTGTTTTGACTGCTTAGGTTTTTTTTGTAAAATGTTTAAATAAATCAATGTTTAGTTTCTTGAAACCTTGTTATGCTAAATCAAAGTAGAAAAAAATGTTTTTGTATTTTCACCTTCAGCCACCAGATGGCACTGTTCACTCTGTACATGAGGCGTGTTAATTAGAGCACTCACAGGTGCGCCCAGTTAGACACAAATAATTTTTAATACCATGCAGCCTGCATAGTAAGTGAACTATTGAGATAGGATTTTGGCAGGTAATCAACAGCTACTGCCTAATACACATCAAAAGATTTATATAAATGTTACCATAGAATACATTTGTTATTTTTCTGCCTGCAAAATGCCTCTATAATAAACATACAGTGTTATTTATTGCTCACAGTAAGTAATACTGCATTTCATAAAAAGAACATCATAAACGTGGTGGTAGCAGTGTAATGGTCTGGACTGCTTTGGTGCTTCAGGATGACCTGCTGCTGATGAATCCATGAATTCTGCTCTCTACGAGAAAATCCTAAATGAGAATGTCCAACCATCAGTTCATCCCATCCCATGAAGCTCACTTGTGTTATGCATCAGGACAATGAACTGACAGCAGCAGGTCCACCTCTGAGTAGATAAAAAAAAAATTAAGGTTTTGGAGTGTCCGAGTCAAAGTCTGGACTTAAATCAGATTGAGTTGCTCTAAGATGCATGACCCTAAACAGGATGCTAATGCTTGTAAACCCTGCAATGTAGCCAAAATTCCTCCACAGTGATGTAAAAGACTCACAAACGCTTGATTGCAGTTTTTGATGCAGTCCAGTTATCATGTTTATGGGGAATGAATTACTTTTTTTTGCAGGGTATATTTAGCTAAGCAAAGCAAGGCTACTCAACAAGAACCCAAGAATAAATATACAGAGCTACAAATGAGCACAATGGGTTAAATTCAACAATCATTGCATTTATTTTTAAACAAGATGAAAGCAGAGCATTTATGAGAATCAGCTGGAAAGTCAAGATAACTAAATATTAACCAATGATTTCATCACTTTTTTTTAGGAACATTGATATTCATGGGGCTGCTGCGTAACCGTACATTTGTTGTCAGCTTTTGGTATTTCAACTACTAGTAAGTTACACAGGCTAGCAACGAAACAAAAAGAGAAATAAAAAAAAGAAATGTTATTATGCCCCATTTGTGCATCATTTACAACTTGTGATAATAAATTAGTGCTGAAGTCTATATAGGTATGATAAAAGTCTTAAAATCTAAAGGAGGATACAAAAGTGTAGAAGAGAACCAAAGATCAAAGATGACACAGTCCCAGCTAGCAAAGATGATGCATTGCGTCCTTTGGTGTATCACATTCCAGTCCTGAGGTGAATCTTTTGGGTGGAGTTAAGTTCATCGATGATGATATCTGTCAGCCTCCGTGGACCTTCGCCACCATCTGCACCACAGACGAGGGTTTGATCCCATACTCCGACAGAGATGCAGAGTCATCGTCCAGCGGCTTTCCTGAGACAATCAGCCGGAATTCAGCCATAAGATATCCTACACACACACAGGAGAGCGAGAACCTCACTAAATATTTAAACATGTCTCAAATAATTATATCATGTCTCTGAACACCACTGAAGGTTGTTATTTTTAAGTTGCACTCAGACAGCACATGGCTGTGGCCACTGCTCAACTAAAACTAAACTTAGTGTGAAAAACATTTATTTCACCCGCTTTATAAACCAAAGTGTGCTCTCACAGTTTGTGCGACGAAAACACAATAACAGTGAGCTATCCAGTTGAATGTGTGTTTGAAGTTGTGTCGTATTATTGTGCTTCGTGATTTTTGCACGACACAAAAACCTCACATAACAACAAAACAAACTGAAACTGACACGGAACATAATGAACACCAAACTGAACCGAAAGAGTTTTGACAATAAACACTTGATACAGTTTAAAAAAGATATAAGATTCTTGAAATAAATGAGGACATTTGAATGAGTCTGTGTCATTTGTGTCACTTGATTTTCATTAGATTGCAACACGATCGCTCGACACATAGCTTCACTACTATTTCTTCTCTTTATAGTTTCTCTTTTGATATGTTTTGAGTTTTTGGGCTTACCTTTCTTTGGAAACAGTTGCGCTGCTTTCATCTTCAAGTCTTTCACGGTCTTCTGCTGCTTTTTGGAGTGATTTAATTTGATAACCCCCAACTCACCTGCAGGTGAGCGGACGGACAAGCTGTACTTGCACATTGTGTTTGTCTGGTGTGTGAGTCTGAAGAGCTCCTTCGGTTTCTGTTAAAGTCAGGTGAGTTCAGAGTGTATTAGTCACTGAGATGGGCTGTCTCTAAATAGTTGTTCACCTCATAACAAACGCTTTATCAGACAAACATACGAAAAGATCCTTTAGGAATCCAATGTTAGGTAAGTTCTATATCTAATTTAGTTTCGCTATCATTTTCTTAGAGTTAAAAGAAATCACTTTCTTTCTTTATGATTAATTTTAACGTGATGTTGGGTTCACTTTGTTGGTTTGATAGTTTGTCGTCATTGTTGTTTATTCATAGGCCTGCTGTCTGTTCACCTTTTAATGTTTTATTAATAGCTTGCACATTAAACTGTATATAATAAACAAATCCGGCCACACGTTTGTGTCGACGTCACTCAGAGTCAGCTGTTACTAGGCTCATCGCGGCGCCACACGTCTGTTGACTGCACCGTGCGTGTCCCGCAGCAGGATCGACGATGGCCTTATTCACCTACCTGGCCGGTCTCCCGCACAGGTAACACTCAGCGTATTCACTCACTCATGCGCGTGTTACTTTTGGTTACATGTTCAATACTCTGATTTCACTGGTAACGACTTTTTGTCATGGTTAGAAAGTGCGGACCGGAGAGTTCGCTCTTTACTTCGATCATTTAGAGTCTGACGGTCTGACGTCACAGTGATCCTAAAACATAAAGCCTGTGATTAAAAACATAGTACTGAAAGTTCAGAACTTACTGTTACCAGGGCTGGAGTGGTAATTTGGCACACAGGGAATTTCACAGGCAGGGCGATGGATCAGTTCAAGGGCCCCCGAAGAGTGAGCAGCCTATTCGTTCATTTTCATTATCGACACTGTGTCGTCCAATAAAATATCTTTACGCAACCGGGACCTCCCCTACCTTCCCTGCGCGCTCCGGCGCTCGAGTTTAGTGTGGAAAAAAGTTCTGAAAAGATGGAGCTGAGAAACTGAAACCGAAAAATAAAAAAGAACTAAAAATAGATGCACAAGATATGTCTAAAGAACAGAGATATTATCTGCAGGGGTGCTGTTGAGGAGGGAGAAATTAAAGAGCTGGAGAGACGTCATTAAGATCCAAGGATCTTACTAAAAGCCGAAGTGTGGCTTTAAATTATGATATGCGACATTTCAGTGTAATTGAGAAATAACCCAGCAACAACCAATCTGATTAAAACCTGCTTCAATATCTCAGTGCCTTTTTTTGTAGTTTTTTTGGCCCATTCCCACTCCGAAATCACACACACACACACACACACACACACACACACACACACACACACACACACACACACACACACACACACACAGCTCAAACTCGGAAGGGGGGGGGGTTGTCTCTTTGAAGTGACACTGTGCTCTGTTACTGTTTCGCAGACTGATGGCCTCAAATACTTTAACAAAACAGGAGAAGTGTTACAACCCTCTCGACCTGACATTTAAATTTGTCGATAGAGAGGATGATTTGGACTGTAAGTATTACTTGGGTGCAGCAATAATGAGAATAATTACAATAATAACGGTGAAAATCATTTTAACCAACTCACATAAACCAATGTCACAAAACATTTATTCTTGAATTTGTGTGTGATTGTTCTCAGTTTTGTGTGAAGGCTTCAAATCTCTCAGAGCTCAGATGTCCTGTGGTCACGCTGTGACCCCGACCTCTCTCACCAACTGGTGTCGCAGGTTGTTGGAGCAGGTAGGCCACTAAAGGTTGACTTTGTTAAAATAGATAAAATAAAGTCAGCATAAATAACAGTGTACCTAAATAAATAAAAGCAGAAGGCATCGGGCGTGGTACCAGGTTTCTGATTTTGGGATAAATTAGATATTAAATTAATCTTGATAATATTTTTAATCCTACCACAACATACAAGCACACACATGTGTAAGTGATGAAAATAATACCTGATCTATTATCACATCTTGTTTTAAACATAATACACAGCAAGCGCTCTTTACTTGGTCTGCAGACACATCACTCAACAGTGTGTACACAACATTTTAGGGCCTATAATCACCTCGTGTTCAATCAGCACCTGTGAAGCACTTCAAGAAATCACACATCTAAGAGACTGATAAACCGTGCTCTTCTAAACAACCTTACAGCCACTTTTGTTTCCTTATTCTTTTGCATCTCACAAGTCTTTGGAAACAAAAGTACCAAAAACTAGATGAGCACCTAATGAATGCTGTAAAAGCCTGTATCAAAAATATTAACCTGAAACCTGTTATTTTTATCATATACTTTAGATTTCAGTGCAATGACTTACACCTTGTCCAGCTGTGACATTTTCAGTGTTTTATCAAACCACTGCATATCTAGCAATGCAGATATTAGCTACAAGAAAAATTTTGCTAATGATAAATATAATTTCTTTTATTAGCTAATAAGTTAATGAATTACAGAGCATGTCTTACCCACAATATGGTATTTATTGATTAATGTGAGTTTAACTGAAACAACAAAAATCCAGCTCATCAAATTGTTTTGTGTTTTGTTTCCAACATGTGAGTCTAATAATCCTTTTACGTCTCATTATTTCAATAAAGGGTGACAGCAGGTTTGTGTGTGGTGCGTTTGGTTGCAGTGCTGAGTGGACTTTGGCAGAGGTTTGTAAAATGGCTCTTCTGGACCCTCAAGAAACCGAGTACTTCAGAAAAACCCTGGAATTCAACGCTGCCAGGCAGATGCTTATCACCCGATTTGTAAGTGTCTCATTAACATATTATATTTACTGTAAATTTGTTATTATTGTTAAATGTCATTCTCTTGTAGTGTCCTGGATGCGGATCCGCTGTGACGAGAGAGAATGGATCAGATTTGAATGTCCTCTGTAAAGTGTGCACATCAGTAAAAGGACAGACCTTTGAATTCTGCTGGCAGTGTTTGAAGGAGTGGAAAGGTGCACGGCCTCGGAAAGACCGCTGTGGAAATCGTGGCTGCTGCAACCAGTCACTAAAGACGCTAAAAGAATGCCCAGATATCATCTTTGATTCAGTGAAGGGTGTCCATGGGTGTCCCTCTGTCCGTGCCTGTCCCACCTGTGGGTTGCTGTTGGAGCACAGCAAGAGGAATTGTAAATCTCTTGTTTGTCCTCGTTGCAAGGTGAAGTTCTGCTTTGTGTGCCTGAAGATCTTCACCGAATGCACCACAACAAGTGGCATTTCTGCACCTTGCTCTAGTGGTGTAGCTCCCAGACAGACATCTATACCTGTATGGCAGAAGAAATAATAGTAACAACACAAGGCCATCAAACTTCACTTTGTCTTGGTGTGAAAGTGCCTTGGAGTTGATGCACTTTAAACTATATCATAATTATATTAAAAAAATAACTTTTTGCTCCCACATTTACCTAGCAACTGCCAGAAACCAGTCAACAGTTCCCAGAATTTCACTCTGACTGGAGATTGCCAGGTCACTGAACTTATACTAGGTCTGCATGGTTAAGCTACTTCCAGTATCCACTTGTCAACCAGTCAGGAAATAAACATGTTTCATAGAAACCTGTGGTTGGCATTTATCTGTAATAATATATCATGTAATATAATGCTAAAGAAATGTTGTAGTTTGTTGATGAGAAATTTCCTACCAGATGTGAACTTTACAATTGTATTATGCCTGATTTGTAAAATCTCAAAAATACATTTTAAATGTGAAGTTAATCCCACGTTCTTTCTTTTTGCAAAACCTTGTTGGGTTAAAACAAAAGTTAAGATGTAAAACATGCAGCTCATTTAAATAAATTGTCAAAATGTTGTCATTTATCATGTTGTGCTGGGTAGGTGATACCAGTTTTTGTTTTAATTAAGGAAATAATCTCTTTGGGTTTTTAAAAAAAATATTTACAGTTTCAGTTTGTTTCAGTTTGATTCCAGTATTTGAATTATTTTATGGAGATTAAATGATTTTTAAACATTTTTTATTCACTTACATATAATTTCCAGTTGGTGGAAATTGGGCGAAAAGTCCTTAAATGTCTCAAATACAAATCACTGTACATGACGGGCCTTTATCATGAGTATCAGGCTTTTATGTATCATTTTACATAATATACATGACAGTCTGACTCTGACTCTCTGACAGTCTGAAGAAATAGGTTACAAAGCAAATCAGAATTTTACTTCTTGCGTAACTTGCAACTAACTAATCTAAAAGTGCAATCCAGTCCATGACAAGTACAGTGGTATATGTTTGTTTTTATTTACATCACAAAAGCACAAATGATAAAAATCAGTACATGATTTACTTTCTTGAGGTTGTTCTGTGTGCCTTTACATTTTCTCATTTCTTGGTGGTTATCATGTGGCTAATAATATTGCCACATGATTGATTTATTATTTATAATCTTTGGCTCTGAGCACAGAAGCCCATGAGGTGGAGCATTTAATTTCCCCGGTGTGTGCACCCTTACATTTGTTATTGGTGTCCCACACAATTTATCAACAAAAATAAAAGAAAAAGAGAAAAAAGAAAAAAGTAGCTAATGAATTGTTTACACCCTGAGAAACAGCTCGAAATAACTGCACAGGTTTAACAGCGTACAAAAGCATTTTTGTCCTTGGTCTGTGTTAAACGGTTGGAGCTCGACGATGGAGCTCAGTCAGCCTCCGTGAACCTTGGTCACCATCTGCACAACAGAGTTGGGCTTGATTTTACAGTCTGACAGCGACGCAGAGTCGTCATCCAGTGGGTTTCCTTCAACGACCAGACGGATTTCACCCAAATATTTCTCTACACATGGAACACAAGAAAAACAGAAAGTTACTCCGCAAGCCTTAGAATAAATAAACAGGCTACATGTCTCCGCATTAAAGGTTTTAACGCGGGCATTAAAATACTGGACTTATTTAAATGCCTCTGTTAAAGCCGCATCGCAGAGAACAGCAGTTCAGTTAGTAACACTTTCACTGTCTATGCTTCCGGACAGTCTCCAGGTTGTGGACCAGCCTCGTCAGTTCCACGTTTATAATGTTTCAACAACTGACAACTGAACTGATCGTAATTCTAAAAATAATTTTAAACATACAAATCACATTTCACAAATCACAAAAAAATACGCAGCATGATTTAAATGTATTGTTTTGTTGTGTAACAGATTGCTACAGTGTTTATTTTTATTTTTTCAAATCTTGTTTTAGGTTCGCCTACCTGTGGAAAACGCTTTGAGCGCTTCCTTCCTCAGCTGGCCCACCGTCGGTTGTTGCACGGGCAGCTGTTTGGAGTACACGCTGACTGTTTTCATCCCGCCTGAAGGCGAGACAAGAGCGACATCATATCGACACATCGTGTGGGGGAAGCTGCGAGCTCCTTTCACTGTCTCCGTCTGAATGTTATGCGCAGTTACGCTAAATTTTTATACAGCAGACCCGGAAACATGCGTCTGAAATGGGTTGTTTCGCTTTAAGAAGGAAACAGTAATGTAAACATGCCATTTATTTATTTGTTTATTTATGAGAATAAAATAATGTGGATGTTATTGACACTTAATCCAACTAAATCGGCCTACAACTAATCGATTACAGTGTGAGGGAGTAACAGAAATATAAGAGTGAAAGTTGTTGTTGTATTTGAATTGGACTCATATCGAGTTGACCGACTCTTTGGAATCACTGCACAGGTTAATTCAATATTATCTCCTGTGAATCACAGTGACTTTAATCTAAAACACTGCATATGGTCTCCTTACGATTTACAAAGCAAACCTAAACCAAGAGCTTTGCGTTAGTCTTTAAATGAGTCTGCGGGTCATGTGTGGACATGAGTTACACAAGTAAACTGTTCTTTATCTTGTTCGTGTTAAACCATTTTATTAAAAACAGTCTGTAAATCTGCTTTTTCTATCACTTATATCTCAATATCATAATATCGTTTCAGAATTATAAAACGGTAATTGCGCAGATGTTGCAGTTGCGCAGTTCTGCCGATAGTAGTGAAGCTATCAGATAAGTAATGGAGTGTCGGTGTGTCAGGGGAGTCTGGCGTTTCTCGTCTTTGATTTAGAAGAAATCACGTGATTATTCACCTTCACCGTGTGGTCAGCAGTTTTTCTGCCAATCGATCAGACATTCGCTTTGAAACAGCGGGCTTAGTGTCGGTTACAGGATTTTATTTATCCATATATCACGTCTGCACATCCTTTAATGTTGTATCTGTCGCTGCGTTTGGTAGCCTATAATAATCTTATTTCCAGGCATTTGAAGATATGGTACTCCACTGCTTCAGTAAATAGACTCCAGCCCACACAAGTCTTCTCAGTTCACCGCTGTTCACGTTATTTCAACAACTGCTACTCGAGTCTCGCTGTGATAATGTCCACATCATAAGTGGATCAGTCACAGCTCTGCTGCTCAGGTAAAGCACGATGTGGTCTAATAACTACATTGTTGATGTGCATATTAGATCGGACTGCCTGGTTATTGTTTTAATATTTTGGAGGATGGAGGTTTTCTAACGATAGGAAACTGCGCACCAGAGAGCGCATCCTCTACCCTCATCTCTCAGTCACGTCTTTTAAAATGCTGAAAGGCCCTTTGTAACAAATGCTCACCACAATACAGTAGAAAATGTACAGTTGTTTATACAGAGAGATGGTGGTGTGTTGTAAGAACGTCCTGGTCCGAATCCACCTTCAGGCTGGCCTGCGACAGGCTGGTGCTTTGTTTATGTCTATCCTGCGTTTCACTCCAGTTTTGCTGGGGACCCTGAATTGAATAAGTGGAAGGGAACAGATGGCTGAACTATGGAGCTTTTCATTCTTACATATGAATGTAACTGAACAAAATTTTAAATTTTTTTATTTATTATTGTTTAATCTTTCTTTTTGTCCCTGATCATGCTGTTACCCATGTGTTTCTCATTAAGGTTGGACAGGCCAGGGCACACCTAAAACCCATTTACAGTCATGCATGTCAGTGGACTCTGGAAGGAAGCCAGATTTTTGAGTAGCAGGGAGAACATAAAAACTCCAGACTGGTGGATTAAAACCACGGAGCTCTATGTATGAGGCATCGTACTAACATTCTTGCAATGCAGTTCTGAAACATGCAAATAAATATTCAGTTTCATTAGATGATACGTTAAGAAATGATACAGAATTCTGCTGGAATTATCTGAGGGAAGCATCCATGACCTCTTTGCTGCAGTCAGTCTCTAAAACAGGGGTGCCCAATCCCGGTCCTCGAGAGCTACTATCCTGCAGCTTTTAGATGCATCCCTACTCCAACACAGCTGAATCAAATGGTTTGATCTCTTCAGCATGCCATCATGTTTGGCAAAGGCCTGATAACAAGCCATTCACTTGATTCAGGTGTGTGGGAACAAGGATGCATCTAAAAGCTGCAGGACGGTAGCTCTCGAGGACCGGGATTGGGCACCCCTGCTCTAAAAGTACTGCCTTTGAGTCTGTGAAGGGAGTCCATGTCCCTCCATCCATGCCTTACTCACCTGTGGCTTAGTGTTGGGACACAGCCAGACACATTGCAAATCTCTTTGTTTGTCCTCAATGTAAGGTGAAGTTTTGTTTTGTGTGCCTGAAGACTGAATGCGTGACAACAAGTCAAATATCTGCACAATGCTCCAGTGTGTGGGCCGCCAAACAGACCTCTATACCTGTTAGGCAGAAGAAATGATGGAAAAAGACAGCAGCCTGCTGGAGCTTTGTTTTCTTTGCGTGTAACGTAATTTCCCATACTGTGTTTCATGTCCTTCTCTGGTTATAACATGAGGTCAGATTTGGCATATGTAATCATTATTGGCTTTTGTTGGTGAGATATTTTGCTGTCACATGTGATTTTTTTTTGCCTATACTGCTTTTAGTTTAAGTCACAAGGACCATAACAAGTCTGAAACTTTTCATTTATTCATAAATCTGAAATATGGTTGAACCTGCATATTCTTTATGTATGCATTCCTTCATTTCAGTTTAATTTCAGTTTAATGAGATAGTATATTTTACTCAGTTTCAGTTATTTAAAGCCATAATTAAAGCCTTGTTTTTCCAGCATGAATAGGTTGCGGATAAAATTCCCCACAGATCCACCTTTATCCTAAATGCTGGTTAAGTGGCACAAAGAGGAACATTTGCTGCATTGTTTTCAGCAGAAGGGTATTACAGAAAATATGCACTAAGATTTAAATATGGAACTGAAGATGACGCGTAAACCAGAAAATTAAAATAACTTTCAAACATATAAATAACGCTCATCATAATGCCTGCTAGCTCAGTTTCGAGTTGAATCACTTTATCAGGCATGATGCTGTCATTGAGATGAAAACTGGAAACTACCTAATACACCCGCACCAATGTGTGTTATGTAACCAGAACAATGTTTGGTTTGGTTTTTTTGCTGTTTCACATCCTGGTTGTCTTGCCAAATGATAGGTATGAGTGGATTCATCAATAATCTTATTATTATATCATTTTTTTATCCAGTTTGATACACATAACACCACAATGGCAAAAGTAACACAATAACCATTTCAATCTCTCCAAACAAGACAATAAATCCAGTTGATAAGCCAGCCCAGTGAAGCTGATTGGTAGATCGGGTACTTTCCACAACTTTGGCTACATGGTGCAAGGTTCCAAAAGTAGAGTGATAAAACCAATAAATGCACAAAATAAGATATTAAACCTGGACTCGCTGCAGAACTAACACTGATTATATAAAATAAAATGTACAAAATAATCCTGGCTGCTAATCTGCAGTTGCATGAGTTTTCGTAGCTGGTGGAGAGAAACCAAAAGTGATAACGAATAAATAAAAAACAATCTAGGGCATTTCCTGGTGTGTGCAGACAACAGCTTCTGTGTTTACTGCTCATTCTAAACCTGAGAAGGATACCAGGTGAATGGTGATAATTCAGAGAAAACTGAAAGGACAGCTGAAAGAGAGGGACTGAGAATCTGCTACAGCAGAGAGAAGGGTTGTTTTGGGACTGCAGTGAGGAAAGAGAGTCACAGAATGACAAAGCTGAGTGCGGCACGAGCTGAGTAATGAAAAAGGATTCAACGTAGATGCCGCAATCAAGGAAACAAAGGCAACAAATGTCAGGGTGCCGCGAGGGGAAAACCCAAGCCATATTGAGAAGTGTGTTGAAGACAACAGAATCAAAACAACAGCAAAGTGGCAAAAATATATATTTGTGCAAGTAAAAAATGGCTTTACTATGATATGAGGTCTGCCCAGTTAAAGACAGATCAACATGTTTAAGATCCTCCCACAGATTTCATTTATGTTCACATCAGAGGACCGTGAGGCCTCAAAAGCTTCATTTTATGCACTGTAGGTAATAGTGGAAATTTATGTCTGCTTTGGTTTGAACCACCAGCCTTCTGATTAGTAGATGAACTGCTATACTGCATAAGCCACCAGCAGAAACTGGTGTGGTAATAATATTGCCTAACAGCAACTGCAATCTAAAGGCAGCACCCAACAGTCCAAAAGGAAACTGTGGCTGGGTGTCATGGCAGAGACTGATGAGGAAGCGGTCCTGAGCTGTAGCTGGATGCTGTTCCGATCCCAAGCAGACAGAATATACCCCACGGTTTGCATTTTCACCTTTAGCCACCAGCCACCTCTTCTTCATATTACTCTGTATATCAGGTATGTGAATTAGAGCAGTGATAGGTGGTGCCTATTAGAAACAAACAGATTTTTAATGCCTGCGTGTAGCAGTGTGGAATCTGTAGTAATGGACTATTGAGATTAGTTTTCAGAACACAAACTGTAAAAAAAGAAAAATTTTTTTTATTATTGAATAAGATGGAAAAATATCTCAAATGATATACATTCATAGTTATTTTTGATATACCAACAAATAGCAAGTTACACAGCTTAGCAGGGAAATAAACACAAAATACATTATTACATCCTAATTATTCATCATTTACAGCTCATCATAATTAATTAGTGCTGAACTCTAAGCAGGTATGGGAAAAGTCTTGAAAGAGCCAAAGATGATGGATTTTGTCCTTTGGTGTCTCATATTTCAGTCCTGCTGTGAGTCTTGTGGATGCAGTCGAGTGCATCAGTGATGATCAGCCACCGTGGACCTTCGCCACCATCTGCACCACAGACGAGGGTTTGATCCTATATTCAGACAGAGATGCAGATTCATCATCCAGCGGTTTCCCTGCGACAACCAGCCGGATTTCACCCAGAAGATATCCTACACACACAACACAGGAGAGAGACGAACCTCACTAAGTAAATAAAGATGTGACAAATAATTATATCATGTTTCCTGAACACGACTGAAGGTTGTTATCTTTAAGTTGCACTCAGACAGCACATGACTGTGGCCACTGCTCAACTAAAACTAAACTAAGTGTGAAAAACATTTAATTCAACTGTAAAAAACAAAACCTCAACAACACAGTTTGTGCGACTTACTGAAACAGCAACACAGTACACAGGAAACGTGTTTGTAATTGTGGTCATATCTGTTAACACAGCCTGTCTGAGCTGGCTTGAGCTCACATGTTTACTCAGACTGAGATGTCCACTTGAATGTGTGGTTGAAGTTGGTGTGTTGCATTATTGTGCTACACAAATACCTCACATAACTATGACGCCAAACTAAATCATTCTTAATTATATTATTATTACCAATAAAATTAAACACTTCATGTAGTTTTTTTTTTAAATATATAATTTAAAAGATTCATAAAATAGACAAAGACATTTGAATGTAGGCTTACGATAGAGCCATGTGATCACTCAAGAAGTAATTTTTCTTTTTGATCTGTTTTGGGTTTTAGGCTTACCTTTCTTGGGAAACAGCTTCAGCGCTCCTTTCTTCAGGTCACTGACCGTCTTCCGCTGCTTCTTGGAGGGGTTTAACTTAAGAATCCCCATCTCCCCTGCCGGTGAGAGAACAGACAAGCTAAACTTGCACATTTTGTTTGTCTGGATCGTGTGTGAGCGGTACGAGCTGCTTCAGGTTATGTTAAAGTCAGAATGGGCGTGGGCTGAATTTATAATTGAGATGGCTTTTTCCTTTTAGGTGGGTTGTCCCAAATAGCTGTTCACAAAGACTAGCAGCAGCAGCTTATATGAGCCTACAATGGTGACTTTATCAAAAAACCACACCAACAGATGCGTTTGGACTGTTAGGGAAGTTCCACATCTAATTTAGTTTCACTATCGTTTTAAATCGAGTTATAAGAAATCGCATGGTTTACTTTTGCCACACATTATGTTTACACTGTAGGGTGGATAGTTTACATCAGCTAAACGGACAGAAAAGTATTTATTTTTGTCCCCCTTCCCTGTTAATGCCCTACCTGGCCCCCTGGCATAACTTTGCTAGACCCGCCCCTGCACAGTTACCAGCTGTCAGCTACTTAGAAAAGGATCCTGGTGTTATTTGTCTCCCAGAAATAGTTCATAACTTCAACTCATTCATGTCACCTAAAAGGTAAACCTGTTTGTCCATCACCTGTTCAGCTCTGATGATTCAGTAAGGACATCTCCTGGTTTCATCTTCATGTTTCCTCTCACCAGATAACCAAACCAACATCATGACCAGCAGCTTTACAGCTGTGGCTCCAGCAAACATCAGCTGGTCCTAGAAAGTAATATTAAATAAATTATAACAACAGCTGATCAAGCTTAAACGCGCTGTTGTTGTTCAGCGTGAAATCTGCTGGCTTCCTCTTTCTGGTGCAAAGTGGGTGATAAACAAACAAGAGAGAAAAGCCGATCAGCTGATCATTGATCAGTTTCATGATTGAAGTAGCAACAGAAGAGGGAGGGGAGAGAATGAGAGAAGGAGAGGCAGCTGTGCAGCATAAAAACACAGAATAACGCCAGCTTTGTGTGTGTTTTTTTTATTCTAGCTGAAGTACGGAACAAATTGTGTTCCTTTTCACCTCAATACCATGTTATTCTGTTTGTCTGTGACAAGATTGCTTTTAGAGTCATTGCCTAAGCAAGGAGGAAGGTGCATCCGACCTCCTCGGCTATAATTGGTCCATCCCAGAGTCGTTCATGACCAATTGGCCAGTCCACCACCTTTCATTGTTTGTACCATTATAGACAACAACAACAACAACACTGGCCCATAAAAACGAAAAATCACCATCGGCCCACCGGGCAAATGCCCAGTATGCCCAATGGCCAGTCCAGCTGTGGACATGGCCAATATATGTCGTTATTATTGATGATCTATGCCAATGTGGTGTCTGTTCATCTTTTAATGTTCTTGCAATCAGACGACTTCATACTCCACTGTTTTAGTGAACATATCCTGAGATAACAATTCAGGCCAGGAATTCAACTCTATCCCAGCTACCTTATACAATAGGTTAACCCTGTGTTATGTGGGGATGTCAATGAAGGAACGACACTGGTGTTGGTTGTGCTGACTCACAGAACGTCTGATGTGGTGTGCATATTTAAAGACAAGATCCAGAAAGCTATTCTTAAAGGTTTATTATGGCAATGAGGTGAATGGATGGATGTGTGATTTTCTCTAGACATTCAAATAAGAACAAACAATAACAATTAAGGATCAAACCAAATCACAGTGCTATCATGCTACTGAAAGGATTCAGTAGATTACTGAATCCACTGAATTTACACTAATGCATCCAACATCTTAGCATTTCCATTTCTTTAAAGTTATGGCTCTGGTGTAACACAACCAGGGGGAGGGAAGATCTATTTACATTGCATGGCAACCAGATATAAGGTTAAACAGAGTCATCTTTGTTTACCTTCTCTGGTGAGGAGGTAAAAGCCTACCAGGCCAAAGTGGAATTATAAAGACTCCTGGGTATTTCCAACAGCTGGTGCTGGTGTAAGGAAGTTGGATTCCTGCCTGTGGCCATCTCCCTGTACACCTCATCCACCTAACACACTGCATACTGTAATAGCCACACCCTTTTTGCACATACTCTTATTTCTTTCTTTGTTATTCAGATATTTATCAGTAAGTGACTTATATGTATGTATATATAGCATATATTGTGCTATTTCTTACTTCCTGTATTGTCTGCACGCTCGTGCAGTAAAGAGAGTGTATGTTGTAACACAAGACACAAAAAGAGAGCTGATTAAGTTGTCTAACTAACTCATCTACACCAGGCATGCTGTAGGATATGTAGCAGCACTGAGGAGGTGGTTTGACTCGATTAAAAAATAAATCAAAAAAGGTATGTCGACTTTTTTCATTTTTCATTTTCAACTATTTCGAGTTCAATCTCGAAACTTAGAATTAGTTCTCAAAATGAACACTAATGAATGAAATTAAATAATTAAAATTTTTTTTCCAATAAAATCAGGACAATAAAACCAGCAGGCAAGGCTAAACTCGAATTTTACCAACGACAGGGGTGCGGCCCTGAAAACACAAACACACACACACACACACACACACACACACACACACACACACACACACACACACACACACACACACACACACACACACACACACACACACACACACAGTGGGAGAGAGAAAGAGATGGGAGGGAGGGAGGAGTATCGCTGCTCATATTCACCGCAGAACAACACGATTCTTAGTCGACCGCTGGATATACTCCCGTGAACAGATAGTGCGCAGTGACAGTAAAAGCCAAGCCAGATGTTCAACCGGACCACACCTTTGTGTTCACCTCACCAAGATTCGGGTGTTGCTCCGTTCATCAACGTGCCAGATGTCTATTACTTGTATCCAGTGTGTCCCGCAGACAGAGCGCCGATGTACTTGCCCCCGCCTTTGCTGCTGCACAGGTAACAACTCAGGTTACATCTGCTGCTCCGATTCCACTGCTAACGATTTTTATGCTCTGACTTTTCGTTACGGTTGTAAACTGCACAATGCGATAATTCAGTGTCACAGTCTGACATCACAGTGATGCTGAAACACGAAGCCGCTGATCAAAAACTTTATGTTAAGAAGAAACGCGAGCTGTGTGCAAGTATCAAAAACTGCGCAACACTGCAGCTCACACACTCTCTTTTTTGAAGTGAAACCGGAAGTGTTCATTCTGATCTGTTTGTTGTTGTTTCGCAGTGTGACGCCCCCAAGCGTGCCAACAACACAGAAGTGTTACAACCCTCATGACAAAACACTTAAATTTGTCGATGGAGAGGATGATTTGGACTGTAAGTGTCACGTGGGCACTTTTCAAAGTGACATCGAACAGATTCACATTTGATATAGAATTCATGACATTAATTAAATACAATAATTTTACCTGTGCTCACATTAGTCTAGGTTAAACAAAATCGGCATTAGCATTTATTCGCGTGTGACACTGATTTTTTGCTTCTGTGTGATTGTTCTCAGTTTTGTATGAAGGCTTCAAATCTCTCAGAGCTCAGATGTCCTGTGGTCACGCTGTGACCCCGACCTCTCTCACCAACTGGTGTCGCAGGTTGTTGGACCAGGTAGGTGACTAAGGGTCAGCTTCATTAAAATAAATACATAACAGACAACATCAGACACAGTGGCAGAATTCAGATTTTAAACAGGGCAGAATAGTTTTGCCTGTGTCTTGAAATTACAGAAGTTAATGTTTTTAATGCTACACGCACGTGAATAAATCAAGAAAACAACGCCCAATATATCATCATTATTAGTATTATTTTCCTGTGGATTGGATTGGAACGATACTATTTCATTTGTTGATAATATGCAGTAACCCTCACACAACATAGTGTTTATAGTTTTATTAATCAAAGATTAACCTAAAGATATTAACTGCAATTCCTGAGATTGTTCTGTCGTTTGTTTTCAACCCCTGAACTGTATAAATAACGCACCTTTCTATATTTCAATAAAGGGTGAAAGCAGGTTTGTGTGTGGTGCGTCTGGTTGTAACGTCGAGTGGACTTTTGCAGAGGTTTGTAAAATGGCTCTGCTGACGCCTCAAGAAAACGCATATTTTAGAAGAACCATGGCGTTCAACGCTGCCAGGCAGACACATACGACTAAGATGGTAAGTGATTCATTAACATATATATTTCATGTAAATGGAGAATTGTTAGACATTTCATCATGTATTACATATTGTCCCACCTCTGTCTCCATGTAGTGTCCTGGCTGCAGATCCACTGTGACGAGAGAGAATGAATCAGATTTGAATGTCCTCTGTAAAGTGTGCACATCAGTAAAAGGACGGCCGTTTGAATTCTGCTGGCAGTGTTTGAGGGAGTGGAAGGGTGCACGGCCTCGGAAGGACCGCTGTGGAAATCGTGGCTGCTGCAACCAGTCATTAGAGACACTAAATAAATGCCCAACTATCACCTTTGGTTCAGTGAAGGAGTGTCCCTCTGTTCGTGCCTGTCCCACCTGTGGGTTACTGTTGGAGCACAGCAAGAAGTATTGTAAATCGGTTCACTGCCCTCGATGCAATGTGTCATTTTGTTTTGTATGTCTGAAGAGCTCCGGTACATGCTTGATAACCAGGTGTATTCTTGCCCCCAGACAGACCTCTATACCTGTCTGGCAGAAGAAATAATGGGAAAGACACGAGGCTGTTAAGTTTCACTTTCTTTAAATTAAGAGTGTCTTTTCTAAATCAATGTACCATGCTGTGTTTTTTAATTCTCTGCTTTAAATGTCATCGCATTAAAAATTAAAAAAAAAAGATGGTAGTGAGAAATGTATTACCAAATATGATCTTTGCAGCTGTGTCATGTCTGAACTGTAATGATAAATCTGATAAATGCCATTCATTCATAAACTTAGAATAAGGTTAAACATTCTGTGTGCACATCCTGTCCTCTGGTTACTTACATATATAACACGTGTTGTCTCCTTATCACACATTTTGTTTGTTTTGCAAACTACGTGATATTAAATCTGTTTAGAACAAATGTTTTGTGTAGGAAAATCTTGTTTTGTTTAATCAGTGTCAATGCTCTTATTTCCTCAACTGTTTCGAGCAAATGTGTCTTTTAATAAAACCTTGTTATGTTTAATTAAAGTCATTGTGTAAAACATTCAGCATATTTAAGTTAATTGTTTCATTTTCGAAATTAAAAATAAAAATGTGTCTCTGTGGAAGAAAAGCTTGCAACATCATATTTAATACAAGCCTGTAGATTTTTTTCTGCCTTTTTTTTCCTTAGTGTAAAATGAACACTGTCATGTAAAATGTGATTTTTTGTACTATACATTGTTAAAAAAAAAATGGTCCAAATGAAATGTTGATTTGAAAGTTAAATTAATACAGTGACTGAGTTAAAATGCAGATTTTTAATTATTATTATTGTTAGGTTAGTCATACAGTCTCAGGAAGAGAAGGCTTCATCACTTTGTGCTGTTGAGTTGGGGAATGCAGGAAAACCTGTTTTCATTCTGTTCTTCATTTATACAATATAAAATATTTAACTCTTAATCTGATTAAAGTTTAGCTGTTTGAAGGTTAACTTAAATTCCAAGTTTCAGTGTGAATCCAGGGATATCAGTATATTTTTTACTCTTTTTAAATGATGTAAAATCATTGTTAACGTATTGACATGTAAGTCACAGCATGTATTGCACTGAGGTAAACATTTTACAGAAGAATTTCTATCTCTATTTAACATCCAAGCTCTGATATGTAATGTTCCAAGGAGCAAAGGTGTCTCGCTTTTTCCCCGGACATAAAGGTTTACTAGGCTAAATAAAATAAAATAAAACATCAATCATCTTTGCTTCCAGAGTCCCACTGCTCTACTCTCGCAATGGTTGTCCACACCTGCTTCAACCTCTCCCTGACATAGGTGGTGCTACTTTTTGCACCAGGTTTGCTGATCTTGATCTTTGGAAAATAGCCCGAGCCCTTTAGACTTATTGCCAGGTTGTCAACCCAAGCTTTTCATCTCAGGCATCCGTGATAAAGGCCTATGATTCTGTGATACGCATATCAGTTAACCATTTTAAACTTATGTGCTTGTGTTGCCGGCATGAGGTCCTTTACCGCTAAGGAATGGATCAGCTCCAGAATGATCTACATTTGAAGCAAGTTGTTTCCCTAAGTGAGTTTAAATAAATGCTTAAAATTTTAAATCGGCAAAGATCGGCATGCAAATTTTTAATGGATAAATTATCTGACTACTATGTGAAAATGTTTTGGGACTTTTTTCTTTCTATTTCTATGTTGATGATCTGTAAACAAAACAGTTAAACTTAAGCTGAAACATGTAAATGATGCTCATCATAACACCTCAATTTCAAACACAATCATTTAGCTGAAAACTGTAAACTACCTAACAACTAGAAATTGCCCGTATCAGCGTTTGTTATGTAGCCAGAACAATGTTTGTTTTGTTTTTTGCTTCTTTACATCCTGGTTGTCGTGCCAAATGATGGTTATGAGTGGACTCATCAGTCCTAGTTTACAAACATTCAGATTAAATAATTTTAACATCCAGTTTGATGCACATTCAGAACATTGCAGTGGCAAAGGGAACACAATAATTCCCCCAAACTCACCAAATAAAATAATAGATCCAGGTCATAATGCGACACAGCGTCACTGGTCAGACCAACTTTGACTACAAGGTGCAAGTTTACAAAATATATAGTGATAAAACCCATAAATCATCACATAAACAAATAAACCTGGACTCTGGGCAGCACTAACACTTTTATTATATAAATCAAAATCATATAAGTGCTGATCTGCAGTCGTATGACTTCTTGTAACTGGTGGAGAGAAAATGAAAGTGAAAAAAACAGAATAAACAAAACAGTTTTGGGGACGTTCCCTGGTGCGTGCAGAGGTCAGTGTCTGTGTTTACTGCTCAAACCTGAGAAGGATAACAGCTGGGAGCCAAACAAACAGAGTACAGATAATTCTGGGAAAACTGAACCTTTAAATTTGTCTTATTATGTGGTTTCACTGTGAAGGCAGTAAAAGTTTGACTTATAAAGTTTAGCATCTTGTTGCTTGCTGGGCAAGATCTTCTAAATTCACATAAGCTAAATGTGAAGAAGCTGGGGTGAGAATCAACACCTCCAAGTCTGAGGCCATGGTTCTCAGCTGGAAATGGGTGGAGTGCACATCAGCACCACTAGTCAGGGTTGAGCTGCTATGTTGAGGGGAGGACTAAGTGATGGGGGAGCAGAGCAAGAGATTGACAGGCAGTTTAGTACTTTACTGGTTTGGTGTGGTGAAGAAAGCTGAGTGTAAAAGTAAAGCTGGTGATTTACATGTTGATGTATGTTCTTCCCCTCACCCGTGGTCACGAGCTGTGGGAAGTGACTGTAGAATTAGACTGTGGATACAAGCAGCAGAGTTTTTTTGTGAAGGATGAGGGCTCAGCTCTTGAGATAGAGAGGTATTATTGTTGTTGTTATACTCTTTCGTTAGAAATATTATCATAATTTTCTTAGACTCATTTAATAATAAATGCTGGGAATTCCACTCGTTTTTTAGGGCTGGAATGAAGGCTATCAAATACACATGACAGTGGTTTGTAGAGAGCCAGGGGAAATCCTGTGTTTAAAGTAGTTTCACTATCACTTTCTCTTCAGACATTTAAAATAAATAACATGAGTTAATGTTAAATGATATTGTGTAAAAGCTGAGGAGCATTACATGGTTTATCCACACGTAACCAATGTCGCACCTTGTAATATTTTACTGAGTATTAAAGTCTTGTATGTGTAAATCTAAAACATAACATTCATTGTCAAATTTGATCCCTGGATTTGAACAAGTCAGCAAAACCTCATTTGATATGAGCCTGTGGATTTTCCTTCCTTCCTGCAACATTTTGCTGAGATCCCATATTGACAAATGAAAATGATCGTGTAAAATGAAATATTTTATAATACTTTATTTTTTATAAAGAGGTCCAATTGTGCCAATTGATGGGTCTGTCTAACACAACCCCTCGCTGGAACGAGACAATTCTATTACAACAGCAAAAGCAAGACGCAATTTACCAGAGCTCTTTGTGTTACTCGTGCACGAGGGAGAGAACTGGACGAGCGCCGTTCCTTCACTTGACACCAGTGCTCTCGTCTGCTCCCTCGTAACACTGCTCTTTATTGAGGTTACATGAATATGCATAGGTTCATTAACATATGACGCCTTACACAGATATACATGTGAACAAAGAATACCTTGTCTGTGTGCTGTGTAGGTATATGTGTGTGTGTTGGTCAAGATGTGACCCTGTGAATAACTCCCCAAAATCTGCTGGCCTGGAAGTCCAGCAATTCAATTAAAAAAAAAGGTACTTATACTAAAACAGATACAGAGTAGGTGTCCTCCTATAGTATAAATCAGTAAGAGAAGGTATGACCTCTCTCATGACCTGAAGATGTGTGTGCATGCCAGAACACTCTGGAAAGCACACAGTCTCTACAGACTACTACAGATCAAACCTCTATTATTATGCAATCGATTATAAAACTCTAAGCATATATGAGTAAAAATTTCTAAGCATAAATGACAATCAACAATATAAACCTTACACCAATGCTGATTTAGAAGTATTTACAGGAACAGCTAAAGTTGTACAATAATCAAGTTAAAGTGGAATCAAAAAGTTTAAATAAATATGAAACACGTGAACATCACGATGCTTTTTGGCTCAGTTTAGATTAAAAATATTAAACCTGATTTCAAAATTATTTCAAATGTTGTCATTGACTTAAAAACGATAAACTACTCAACATGCAGACATCAGTGGTATGTGAGCAGAACAATGACATTTGGTAATGTGTATTTATTCGTGCACATTATAAACAGCAAATAGCAAATATAAAATCAGTCTTTTTTCAGTATGTACTTTTTGGAGCTTGCTCTATATACAGTTACATTTATTCTGATTTCTTCCTGTGATGATAATAATCGGAGGCTCCTTAATTATTGTTTGTATCCTTTGTTTCAGATATGGGATGTGTGTAACGTCAGTGAGAGGAGATATTCCTAATATTCTCAGGCACACACCTCTGACTGTGAGAACAGAAGCCCCAGAAACTTGTTTGGAAAAAAAATGCACCCCAATTAATCATTATTTACTCCATATGATATTGAATTAGTGCTGAGTATAGGTATGACAAGAGGCGTAAAATGCAAAGAAAGCACAAAGGAGAAGGAAAACCATAGACGCCAAGCTTCATTTAGAATTATGCGTTTTGTTCTTTACATGTATTTATAGTTCGGTGAATCCTGTAACTTTGATGTAATCAGATGAATTGATGATGGACTCCTTCATCCTCCGTGAACCACAATCACCATCTGCACAACTGAGCCGGTTTTGATTCCGTATTTTGTCACTGGTGCAGAGTCGTCGTCCAGTGGCTTGCCATCACTGTGCAGCTTGAAATCCTTCTCAGTGCATCCTAAACACACATGACACAGAAAGAGATGACTAGACTAAATATAGCTACAAATATGTCATAAATAATTATATTACGTTTCCTGCATTATTCATAACATAACATAACTTCATAACATTTTATAAATTTTTTAGTGAAAATTTTTTAAGACATTTGAATATAGAGTTATTAAGCACTGGTAATGACAATTTTAATGTATATATTTTTGTTTTCTCAGGTTACTTACCTTTCTCGTTGAGCATTTTCTTCACTTTCTGTTTGAAAATGCTCACAATCATTACTTGCAGCTGCATGGCGCACAGGAGCAGCAGGTATCTCTGACCATTAGCCATGATAATGAAGATTTCACACATTGTTTTGGCTACCACCATCTGAAGGTTATGAGAGGTGATGGTTAGTACTTTTGTTAAACAGCACTTAACACATATCATAAAAAAGCAAACACAAATATTTTAGAAACCTTTTCAGTGAGTCCTCTAAGTGCAACCATTTTGAAATGGAGTGAGGAAACTCAGTTCATGTTTTTATACCAAAATATTAAGTTGAAATACGTGAATTATAATTTATTCCATGTAGTTTTAAATTAGTGCTGAGCACAGGTGTGACAGGAGCTGTAAAATGTAAAGAAAGCTAAAATAATGATGGACCCTCCATCATAAACGTTTCTCACCATCTGCACAGCTGAACCGGACTTGATTCCACATTTGGACAGTGGTGCAGAGTCGTGGTC